CGAAAAGGACACACACCGCCTCAACGAACTGCTGGCCGCCATTCGCTCTGAGAAGGAGTCGCTCGAATCGGTGCTCTTCGACACAAACACCTCGCTGGAGGCCACCGAAGAGAAGCGCAGCCAACTGGAACGTGATCTGCAGGAGGCACTGGTCCGTGAGGAGTCGCTGAAGAACCATGTGGCCCGCCTCCAGAGGGACCTCGAGATGTGCCAGCGCAAGGCCCAGGAGACCAAGACGCAGCTGCTGAATGCTGCCCGCGCCGCCGAGAGCGATTTTAACCAGAAGATCGCCAATCTACAGGCGGCCGGCGAGGACGCTGCCAAGCGACATGGCGACGAGGTGCTGCAGCTGCGCAATGCACTCGAAAAGCGTATGCAACAGGCTCTGCAGGCGCTGCAGACCGCCAAGGACGATGAGATCGAGAAGCTGCAGGAGCGTCTGGCCACGCTCCAGGCGCACATCGAGAGCCTCGTCCAGCAGCATGAGGAAGCGCTGATCCGTGCTGAGAGCGAGAAACAGCAGGCCCTGCTCATCGCCCATCGCGACAAGCAGGCGGTGGCCGAGCGCCTCGAGTCCGTCTCACGGGATCTGAAGACCGAACAGGAGTCCCTGGATCGCAGCAAACGGGAGGCCAACGCCCGCGACGAGAAGCAACGGTCGGCCATTTCCCAACTCAAGGACGAGATGGTTCACATGCGCACCAGAGATGAGGAGCACAAGTGAGTACTGTTCCATAGGTTCCATCCTTTGGCGTAGCTGTAGAAGATCGTGTTGATAAAGAAAAGTTGGTTTTTGGGATCTGTTGTACCCGGTTTCGCCCTCGGCAGCCGGCTCGAAGTAAGAACTGATGCAGAGACTGCAGCTTAGCCGTTAATCCAACGATTTGTCAAAAACGATGCCATTAATGGCGCTTAATTAACGCGCCTATCAACGCGTATGTCAAACAACTTGGGGGACTTACTAAAACTAAAGGACAATAAGAGTTAGGAAAGCCAAAGAAGAAGAGGCAGAACTCCTATCTATTTTATATAATGATAAAGAGATAAGAATCTTCAAATCTTTTTAAAATCTCGAAACGTAACGTTGTGAGTGGCTGCAGCGGAAAATACCTTTATCCAAGACAATATAACAATATACGCATCTTATTATTATATTGTTTCTGCTTTACCAGTGCGATATCACAGGAGTGAGGATAAAAAATTTGGTTGCTTTAACTTTTATAGTCTCTAAGATCTAGGCGCTAATCGGGAAGGATGGATGGACAGACACAAATGGCTGATATATATGCCTATTTTATGGGGTCGAAAACATTGCCTTCCATCCACTTAGACCACAAAACTACTACATACATACATATATCCCTAAACTGCTCAAGTACCGGGTATTATTATTTCTTTCTTGTTATTTCCTTCTGCACTGTTCAATTGTTGCTGTAAAAATCTCTTATTCGGATAAATATATACCAAAATTATTCCGATTACTGCTTAGAATCAAACTGGAGGAATGCATTCGCAAGCAGGAGCTGCAGTTGTGCAGCATCCGGGAGGAGCGGGACACTCTGTGCCGCATGAGCGAGGAGCTGAAGATGGAGATCCGGCTCAAGGAGGACAAGATGGAGGGCACCAATAACGAGTTGCAGGATGCACTGCGCAAGACCAAAGAGGGTAAATATTTCCTGTGATCTTCTGACGATCCAATATACTCATTTTACACATATATTCTGTGCTGCAGGCGAGGGCTTCATTGACAGCATGCGAAAGGAGCTGACGGACAGTCGCCGGCAGCTGGCGGACAGCAACATTGAGCGGGACAAGTACTCCAACAGCAACAAGGAGCTGCGCGATCATGTAAAGCGCGTGGAGAGCGCCAAGCGGGAGCAGGCCCGCGCCATTGAGGAGGCCCTGCAAAAGATCAGCAGTCTGGAGGATTCCAAGAACTCGCTGGAGAACGAACGCACTCGGTTGAGTACCATACTCAAGGAGACGGAGAACCACTTCACCAAGACGACGCAGGAGCTGAATGCCACGAAGGCGTCGCTGCAGAAGGCCCAGGTGGAGTTCGCCCAGAAGGACGAGGGTGGCAAGGAGCTGCAGAGCAAGTTGGTGGCCGAGGTGGAGCTGAAGGAGCGCGCCCAGCAGGAGCTGTGCCAGATCAAGAAGCAGCTCTCCGACCTGGAGGCGAATCTGTGTGCCACGCGGCAGGAGTTGGGACGTGCCCGGTGCCACAACAACCAAGAGGAGCATCGCTTCCATGCCCGCGAGCAGGAGCTGGCCCAGCGCATGGAGGAGGCCCGCGGCCGCGAGAAGCGTCTCGAAGATCAGAAGCACAATCTGGAGGTCTGCCTGGCCGATGCCACGCAGCAGATCCAGGAGCTAAAGGCCCGCCTGGGCGGTGCCGAGGGCCGCATCCGGGCCCTGGACGAGCAGCTCTCCTGCGTGGAGCTGCACAAGCGCGACACCGAGCAGAAGCTCTCATCCGTGGTGCACACGCTCCGCCGCATCGCCGGCATCCAAGTGGATGGCAGTGTGAATCTCTCGCATCGCCTGCTCAGTCCATCTAGGCGCTTCAGTCCGTCGCGCAGTGTGGGCGACTACGATGCCAGGAGCTCCTCCCAGTGCCCGGATGCACCGATCGACGTGGATCCGGATCTGGTGCGCAAGGGCGTGCGGAATCTCATGCATCAGGTGGCGCAGCTGGAGCGGGAGAAGGATGACTACAAGTCGCAGCTGGGCGCCGCCAAGAAGCAGCTCCAAGATGCGGCCGAGCAGCAGCTGCGCTGCGATGCGAAGCTGAGCAAGCTGCAGGCCATGCTCCGGAATCTGCAGGAGGAGAAGAGCAACCTGGAGACGGAGCGCAAGATGAAGATCTCCGCCATCCATGCCCTGGAGGAGAAGCTCAAGCAGCGCAGCGACGAGTGCCAGATGCTGCGCGAGCGCTTGGCCCAAACGGAGATGCAGCTGGCGGCCACAGCCGAGGAGAATGGCCAGAACGAGGAGCGGCTGGACAAGTGCCGACAGCAGTGCGCCAAGCTGGACAACGAGAAGCGACAACTTCAGGAGGAACTGGCCAAGGTTGAGGGACGCGCCAGCAAGCTGGATCTGCAGCGCGTGGCCATGGAGGGGGATCTGACACGCCTCCAAATGGCACTTCAAGAGAAGGACTGCAGCATTCGGCAGGTAACCGAGCGACTGGAGAATCAGAACCGTGCTCTCACCCAGCTGGAGGATCGGTGCACCTCCCTCAAGTCCACCGTCGATCAGCTGAAGGAGCGTCTGCAGAAGTCCGCCGTCAGCGAGACCCAACTCCGGGGCGAGATCAAGACACTGCAAAAGGAGCTCTCCGAGCAGGGACACTGCTCGCAGGCCAACGAGGACAAGCTGAAGCTGCTCCAGAAATCGCTGCAAACCGCCGAGAATGAGAAGCGCATTCTCACCGAACGCCTGGACAGCTCCCAGACAAATCTCAACGAGCTGCGACGCAGCCAGCAGGCGCAGCTCGATGGCAACCAGCGGCTGCAAGATCAGGTCACCGATCTGGAGGTGCAACGCTCGGCGCTCGAGTCACAGCTGAGGATTGCCAAATGGAATCAGGAAAGCGGCGGCGACAAGGCCCTCAGCAATGGTAATGGCGGCGCTGGCGGCGAGGAAGAGCTCAGCAGGCAGCTGAAATCCTCGCAGCGCGAGAAGTCCGAGCTTCGTAGCAAGCTGCAAACACTTCAGGTGGGTTTCCGTGTCATCTTCATGCCCTGTCCTGTTCTTTAGCTTTCCTGCTCCCCATTCCAGGACAAAGTCAAGCAGTTGGAATGCGAACGGAAGAGCAAATTCTCGGGCGGCAGTGCCTACGATCGTGCAGAGAAATCCAATGCCTACTATGGTGGTGGGGCCGCCGATTCGGGGGAATTCGACTCGAATCGCTATGATGCGGGTGGCACCGCGGCCGGCTCCTACAGTTGTGGCCTCGATCACAGTGTGATCGAGCAGGAGACGCGTGACCTGCGGCTCAAGGTGCGTCGCCTGGAGACCCTGCTGGCCGAGAAGGAGTCCGAGTTGGCTCGTGTGAAGGCGCGCATGAACGACAGCGCCAAGTGTCTGGATGGCATGGACACGGAACGTTATCGCAGCGCCCAAATGCATGCCGAGAAGGTGCTGGATGTACGCGAGCAATCGCACAGACAGCAAGTGCTGCGACTGGAGAACCAGGTGGGTGCCAAAATGGGTGTGATAAATCTGTACTGCAGTAAATAGCTTGGGATAACCTTCTCCACAGATCTCCATGCTGCGGGAGCAGCTGGCCCAGGAGGCCAAGCGACGACAGCAGTATGTGCTGCGCAGCTCAAAGGCGAATCGCGAGATGCAGCATCTGCGTACAACACTGGGTGACTCACTGCGCAATGTCTCCCAGCATCCCGTGGATGCACATCTGCTGGAGAGCGAGAGCCGACGGTGAGCATCAAGCTAGGATGGTCAAGCGTTTCCTTTACTCTGTTTTTTTTTTGCTTTTACAGTCTCGATTCTGCTGTTTCGATGAGCCTGCCACCGTCGACCTGTCGGGACTACGATCGCGATTAGAGAACATTTCCTCCTTCACAAGGATTGAACTTGATCCCGCCAAGATGGTCCACTGTAATGCTCACTGCCATTTGCGATTGCATTTATTTTAGAGACGCTTCCTAGGAGTAGCAAAAACCACAAACAACCAACCAACCATAACATAACATAAGGGTGCCTCTAGTCGCATTTGCATTTGTGTTGAACAATCTCATTAAATCGCATTTAGTACAATTGTAGCTATTGATTTGTCTGCCCCGATAGACAATCGAATATAGTGCGTTCCCCCATTTACCATCCACGTACCGCATTTTGGGCCCGATCCAACACTGGGCCACAAGTTCCGATTCTCCCGGGAGCCAGGGAGAACACCGAACCGATACAATATCTCACGATAATTTACATCATTCGCATTATTCTATCAAAACACCGAAACTAGTCAGCACCAATACAAGGCAAACAAAAAAATCTATTTTAATCCCTAGCATATCTAAACCTATATACAGTGCGGACTGCAAACGACTGCATGTTTTATAAACTATACTTATATACAAGAGAAATACACATCTATTGAACACAAACATGTCTCACTACTTTGCGGCTTTCAGCATCTTCTCCAGGCACGTGACAACGCTCTTCATGTTTGCCTTTTGCCCAGAGATCTTGGCCACCTCCCCGACAATGGCAAACAGTGCCTTGGCCTTACCTTTGTGATATTGCAGCACTGCCTTGGGCTGATTGGCCATGGCCTGCTGGCAATAGGCTTCGATGGTTTCCAGATCGCAAATCTGCTCCAGACTGTGCTGCTCAATCAACTGGAGGGGAACACAGATTAGTTACTAAGATTTCAAAGTGCCATTCAGGGGTGGAGGGACTCACCTCATTCACTTTTGCTGTGGGATTTGTGTGCAGCAGTTGAATGAGCTGGCGGGCTGCCTGAAGATTAATCTGTTCCGAGTGCAGGCCCTTGACTATGTTCTTTAGATCGCTGGCCGTTATAGAGCTAAAAAAAATAATATACAAATTTCAGATGTGGTTTCTTAGGACACATTTTAACCTACCAATCCTCCACATTCAAATTGGATTTATTGCAATAAGTCAGCAGATCGTTGATGAGAAAGTTTGAGGTGACTTTCGTGGGCACCTCACTGAGATCCCTCGTTATATTCAAGAAATAATCCAATAGAATGGGTTCATTCTGGAAAGAGCCAAGAGGTTAGAAGATTTTTCCAATGTTTTTCAATGTTTTTTGATTGACTCACCACCAAAATAATGGCCGTCTCCGCATTCAGCTGGTACTGTTCGACCAAACGCTGGCGCGTATCTTCTGGCAGCTCGGGAATTTCTTCGCTTAGAGCTGCCACAGACACGAGATCCTCGGTGGACTTGGAGCCCGGCTTGAGGTTTAGATGCAAAGGCGGTAGATTTGGCTCTGGCATGAAGCGATAGTCCTGCAGCACTTCTTTGTCACGCATGGCCACTGTGCGCCTGTTTTCCGCATCCCAGGAGCGTGTCTCATTCGTTATGACCCCGCCCTCGGCCACTGCGTCGAGCTGTCTGTGTATTTCGTACGTAATTGCCTGCGAAATGCTGCGAACCGAACCAATGTTCTTGACTTCAGTGCGTACACCCAGTGGATCGCCTTCCTGGTGAATCGATATATTCGCATCCACACGCAGAGCGCCCTCTGAAATATATAACAAAAATTCATTTTGACAACCATTTATAGTGAGGAAGAAGGACTTGCAGATACCTTCCATTTTGCAGTTGCATGTCTGCAAACGTCTGAGTATTAGCATCAGTTCCTTGACCAACGAGGCTGCCTCCTCGCCCGTCTCCAGATCTGGGGCAAATACCAGCTCCATCAGTGGCAGACCGGCGCGATTCAGATCCACTAAACTTCTTTTGAGATGGTCATCGTGCAGAGATTTGCCACTGTCCTGCTCCAATTGGAGTTGCAGCAATTGAACAGACTTGTAGTAGACCTTTTTGCCAGGTGTTATCACGGGAAAAGACATTTTCCCATTGTTCGCCAAAGCCGCACGCTGCTGTGTGATTTGATAGCCGTTCTGGATAGGCCCGCAAGGAGGTTAAATAAAGGGGAAAGCTTTTGCGAAATCATCCTACTTACTGGCAAATCAGCATAGAAGTAATGCTTGCGATCAAACATGGATACTTCATTCACCTGACAGCCCAGGGCCAAGGCGGTTTTTATGCCAGACTCCACACACTTTCGATTGAGCACCTGGTGAGGGGTTTATATATTAATTGCGTTACTACGGGCTAGCACCAAACACATCCAAAGTTCTTCTCACCGGCAAAGTGCCTGGTATGGATGCATCGAAATAGGCCACAGATGTGTTTAGGGCCGATCCGAAGGATGTGCCGCTACCAGAGAACAATTTTGAGGCGCTTGAAATTTGTGCGTGCACCTCCAAGCCCACAACGCTTTTCCATTTGCTGTGGCAGGCAAAGTTATAGTAAGCTTTAATTGTTTATACTTTCGTTCATACCGTTTGGGAATTTGGGCTAATTTCGGCTGCGTGGATAGTTGCCGGATTAAATAACTCATTTTTTAATCACGCTGGAATCACGCTTTCTGCTGTTGCTGTGATTTATTTAGCGCTGCCAGACCTTATATGTATATGGATAGGAGATAGAACCAGTGCTGCCATTTAGGCCTATTTCACGCTAGATCTAGCCTTTTTTATATGTGGAATGGCTTCTAAAATTTGCAAACAGCTGATATTAGCTGTTTAGCATTATTGTAAGATACATTTAGCTTAACTACAATTTACGATATGTACTCTTCAGTCATCTTAATAATATTCACTTAAATCATAATCATTGGCGTGTATTTAGTCTTGGCTTTATTTTTGCTTATTTATTTTTAATTTAGGTAATTTTTGGCATATTTTTCTTTTGAAATCTAGCTTGCGTTGACTCTGAAATTCTGGCAGCACTGTATAGAACCCCGATTGGCCAAATAATAGGAAAACGCGAAATACCTTTTCATTTTTTAAAGACAAACATGTAAAAAAATGAGACTAGCAGAGGTAAGTGAATTCAACGATCGAGACCAAGGCCACCAGCAGTGTGTGGTGCATCAAACTGTGCAAAAGTTTTCATGCAAATGCTTGTTAATCAGTTGACAACGACGAAGAAGAGAAAAAGCACACGCAGCTCTGCAAACGACAACCACAACCACGACGACGACGACGACGACGACGACAATAGGTTTCTTGGAGTGAGTGGACGAGCGCCCATCATCCAGGCAGTGGAGCACAAGCAGCAGCAGGAGTACTATTAGTTGGAGCTTGCTGGAGCGGAGCGGAGCAGTGGGGCAGTCCGCAAAAAAAAATCAATTACAAAACTAAAAACAAAACACGAGCGCAGTGTGAAGTGGCACCGCATACTCCACCATGGACTTTGAGAAGATATTTCACGACCTGGAATCGAATCAGACGCTCGAAAATGAGGAGGCCAAGAAGAAACTTGTGGAGCTCTTCACGCAGAGTGAGTCCTGGGCCTGGCTGTAATTTGCTCGCATATTGTTACTATTTTTGGTTTCCTTGCCTTGCCCCTTAGATAAGGAAACGTGGGCTGTGAACTTTATGCTGGACTATTTCTTCAAAACTGGATCTCTGCGCATCCTGGACGTCCTGGTCAAGGCCCAGAAGCCGCACGATAGCTACATCTTTGATCGCCTGGACGTGTGCCTGAACAAACCGCAGCACCGAGTGCAGGGTCTGCAAGTCTTCTGCTTCATCGTCCGACACCATCCAACCTGGCTGTACAAAATAGAGAGTCATCGGCTCATCAAAACAGTCTTCAATCTGCTAACGGTGAGTGAATTCCTTTGCCATTTGCATGGTGATATTTTGAGCCATTCATGAATTGCAGCACGAGAAGGAGATTGTGCCCCTGATGAGCGCCCTGTTGTGCATCATTACACTGCTGCCGATTATACCCAATTCAATGCCGAATTTCTTCAACTATCTGTTCGAGGTGTTTGGCCATCTGGCCTCGTGGAAGCTGCAGAATAGCAAGAGTCTGCCCGACGAGAAGCTCGTCCATCTTCAGTTGGGCCTGCAAATGCTATTCCATCGGCTGTACGGCATGTATCCGAACACCTTTATGGCCTTCCTGGCGGAGTTCATCAAGAAGGGGAACGGCGGTGGCATCTTTCAGCATACGATTAAGCCACTGCTGGACACGGTCCGTGTGCATCCCATGCTGCTGACCGACACACCCGAGACTGAGGTCAATAATACGCGATGGAAGGAAATGGAGCCCCATGACGTGGTCATGGAGTGTGCCAATCTGTCGCTGCCCGTCCTCCAGCCCGAGTCGAGCAACGACGACAACAGCTATGCGTATCCCATGACTCCGGGCTACAGCCGGATGACCTCGAACACCTCGAATACCGAGGGAATTGCCTACCAACTGGGTAGGGATTTTCAGTACAGTCGGAATTCCATCGCCCGCTTCGACTCGTCGGCTTCAGGGGAGCTGGGGCCCATTTGGAGTCCACAAAATGAAATTCACGCCACCAGCAGCGCCATCCCTCTGACGCCCACCACATCATTCATATTGCCGCTGCAGCCATCGATGAACTCCCAGTTGATGATCGGAATGACGGGCTCCTCGCCGCCGGAGGCTGCTGTGGAGGCCACACCGGAGACAACGCCCCTGAAGGACCTGAGGGAGCTGAAGCAGCAGCAGCATGGCCTGGCCATGGCCAATTCCCATGCCGTGCGGGCCATTTTTCCCTCCAGCCAACCCTCGTCGCCGATGCGCAAGGATCTACAGAATCAGTTCAATTTCCCGGACATCAGTCGCGAGGCCGAGGAGGGCAGCACCAAATTTACAACATACGAGCGTCGCCTGCAGCAGGTCATCCAGGACAGGCACAGCTCGCAAGCCCTGCTAGAGCAGAGATCCCTCTCCGGCGTCCTGCCGGAAATGAACCTCAACTCGGAACTAACTGCGCCTGGAACTGCGGCTGGTAGCCCATATCATGGCCCCTCGCCGGAGGTGGCGGCCCTCTGTGGCGAGTGCAACGAGACGGATCGAAACATGTGCAGTGACGGCGGCCTCCATATGCCCACCAGCCGATCCATGCACACCATGCTGCAGCAGAGGAAGCGAAGGAATCGAATGGCCAGCTACAGCGGCAACGAAACCTGCTCCGATGGCAGAAGTACGGCGGCCAAGAAGGCATCGTTCAGCGTCGAAGCGGATAATCCGATACGCCGGGCCAAGTCTTGTTCGGCACTGGCGGGACTGCTGCTGCTGCAGCAACAGCAGGAGGCGAACGATGATGAGGCCGATTGTCCAACGGGCGGAGGACAGAGGCGGGAGAATGGAACGACGCAAAAGACTGGCAGCCGTTTGCAACGCAGCGGCCGAATATTGGCAATGGCAATGGTGGCACCCAAGGAGCAGCCGGCCAGAAGCTGCACACACGCGTCCACCCAGACGCTGGAGGGTGTGCTGCCGGCTCAATACGAGAACTGGATGATTGATCTGCTGTTCGAGTGCAAGGAGCAGCGTAAAATCTACGATCGGAATCTGCTCTATCCGCAGGACATACTGGAGGAGTACATCAAGCAGGGCATCCGAGCCAATGAGTCCTTCGATACGGAGCAGTGCAAGCTGATGTGCCTGCAGCTGGAGTACGAAAGCTATCGCCGATCCATCCATGCGGAGAGGAATCGCCGCCTCATGGGACGCAGTCGGGACAAGCGTAGCCTGGAGATGGAGCGAGATCGCCTGCGTGAGCAGCTCAAGAACTTCGATGCCAAGAACAAGGACCTCGCCGGCAAGATGGACAACGCCATGCGATTGAACAATGAGCGACAGAAGAGCCACCAAGAAGAGCTCGCCGACATGAAGGCCAAGTACCAGCACGAGCTGGAGGAGAAGAAGTGCCTGCGGCAGGCCAACGATGATCTGCAGACGCGTCTTACCACGGAGATGGCCCAGCAGAAGGAGATGAAGTACGAGCTGGAGTCGCTGCGTGGCCAGGTGTTCAGCCTCAGTACAGAGCTGCAGCATTCCCAGCTTCAAGCGGATCTCGGCCAGCAATGCAAGCAGGAGTTGGCCCGCCTCGAGGCCGAGTTCATCATCATGGGCGATGTTCAAGTGCGGTGTCGCGATCGTCTGGCCGAGATTGACAACTATCGTGCACGCGACGAGGAGCTGCAAATGCTGCAAGAGAACAGCCACCTGGAGCAGAAGGGTATAATTCCGATTGCTTTGCTTCCCCATTGTTGTAGGCATTTTTTTTAATTTGTTTAAACCTTCATTAGATCTGAGGCACAGCCTGGACGAGAAGACATCACAGCTGGATAGCATGAAGCATAGGATTAGCGATCTGCAAGCACAGTTGACCAGCAGCGAGAAGGCCATGACGGAGCAGAAGCGTCTCCTGAGCACTGTCAACGATGAGTATGAGGAAAAGTTTAAGGTATGCACAGGCCCAACTACATGCATTGAAAAACCCTTTTAACACTCATATTTTGTGGCTTTTGCTTTTGCAGGCGGTGAACAAAAAATATGATGTGCAGAAGAAGATCATCATGCAGATGGAGGAGAAGCTGATAATGATGATGCAACAGCCGCAGGGAACTGTGGGACACAACACCTGCTCGCCGGACACGGACAGAACTGGTGAGTAGAGCATATTGACAAAACAAACACAAAAAACTTAACCTTAACTAACAAACAAAAAACCATCTTCAGACATTGCCTCATCCATTGAACGAAACTCGCCCTTGTCCACATCATTGGCATCGAGTGAGAGCCTGTCCGCGAGTTTGCGGTCAACGGAGCTTAAAAATCTACAACAGCTGGTGGAGACAACACCCTCGATACCGGACGTGCCGAGCAGCACACTGTACGAGCTGGCCTCCTCGGCCAGCACCGCCAATGCCATCAACATCACCAGCGGTGCGACGATAGTGCCGCATGCCCTGGAGCTGCTGCCCTCAACATCGACCAGTAGTCAGCAGACGACCCACCCACATCCACATCTACATCTGCAGCAACAGCAACTGGAGCAGCAGCAACAGCACCAACAGCAGCAGCATCATCATCAGCCATTGCACAGCCAAGATCCGCAGCCACAAATGCGTTTGTAAGAAAGAAATTCAAATTTCTGTCTAGCAAAAACGAAAAAAAAAATATGTTCTAGGTTTTTCAAATTTTCATATTTCAGTTCAAAACTGTAACTAAAGTTAAATAAAATGCAGACTCCACACAGTGCTGACTTTGCGATGGGCAGGGGCGAGCGGGCGGGAAGGAATTTTGAATAATTTATTTAAATTTGAATCCAAGTTATATAACGGGCGCGGCGCCAAATATTTATATTCTGATATTGCCAGTGCGAGAAAAAGTGGCAGCGCTGTTAACAGCTGTTTCTTAACTTGAAGAAGAGGAAGCAGAAAAACGCCTACAATTTGTTAAAATATACAATTAATCATAATAATGCTGTCCCAATACATGGAAGAGTTTGAGCAGGTGATTTATATTAAATATTAAACATATGTTATAATATTCATTGCCTTGCCATCCCCTTTCGGCTTTCAGGAGCCCTTTGAGGTGGGCGAATTCATTGAACGTCTGACATGGCGTACAAACAACGAACTGCAGAACAGCGAAGACTTTAGCCCTGTGGCCCTGCACGACACCTTTATACAGACGATCAAGGATCTGAAAATCCTGCAGGAGAAACAGCAGGGCAAGTGCGAGAGGCTCGAGGAGTCGCTGCGTCAGGAGAAGGAGTCGCATGCAAAGAAAATCTCCAAGCTGCAGGAGCGGCATCAAACGGCTATTGATTGGTTTGGCCAGCTGGATGAGAAAATCAACTCGGTGGCCGGCAAGATTATGCATCTGGGCGAGCAGCTGGAGAACGTCAACACACCGCGCAGTCGCTCCGTGGAGGCGCAAAAGTTGCTCAACTTTATGGCCGAATTTCTGGCCGCCGGCCCCGTAATCGTCAACGACATCTTTACGGATGCAGCACGGCTGAGCGAGGCGGCTGATGTCATACAGAAGCTGTATGCCATTTCGCAGGATCTGCCGCCGGGTAAGTTTGCCGAATCCAAGCGGAAGATTGAAAAGAAATACGACGAGGTGGAACGACGGCTGATCGAGGAGTTTGCCACTGCCCAGAAGAGCGAGGATATTGAGCGAATGAAGGCACTGGCGCAGATACTCTCCCAATTCAAGGGCTACGCACAGTGCGTGGACGCGTACATCGAGCAGAGCCAGATGCAGCCGTACAGTGGCAAGGATATATTCATTGGGATTGTGCCGCTGTGCAAGCATCACTATGAGATCATCAAGAAGGTGTTTGCCAACCCACAGCAGGTCATGTCCAAGTTCATACTGAACATCTATCAGCTGAAGCTGCATCAGTATGCCATGACCAAGCTGGAGGACAAAAGGGATGAGGAGAAGTACCTGCGCACCCTCTACGAACTGTACTCACGGTAAAATATGTCCAACCCAACCAATCGATGCTGCCAGTCTGATAGTCATAGTGTGATATTTCCCTTTTGCAGCACTTTGAAACTGTCGACCGATTTGCAAATTTACATGTCCACCATCGATGATGATCTGCTGCAGAAGCTAACGCAACAGATTTTCATGAAGCACCTGGCCGGCTATGCCGAAATGGAAACCAAATGCCTGACAGCCAAATGCTCATCGGAGCTGGAGAAATTCTATGCTAGCAAGAAGCATCAGAAGACGCAGACCACCAAGGGCTTTCGTCGCAACATGGAGGTGCTGATTGCCACGCGGGCGAACATCAATATAGCCGCCATCGAGGACTATGGCGGTGAGACGTTCCTCTCCGAGGAGCTGGCCATCAATATGCTGCAAGAGGCCAAGGCCGCACTGAAGCGCTGTCGCCTGCTCTCCAGCGAGGTCGAGCTGCCCGCCAATGCCGTCAAACTGAATGACATTCTGTTGCGCTTTCTGATGCACGAGCATGTTGATTATGCCTTGGAGCTGGGCCTGCAGGCAGTGCCACTGGCCGAGGGCAAAGTATTCCCGCAGCTCTATTTCTTTGATGTGGTGCAAAAGACAAACATAATTGTCCATCTGCTGGACAAGTTGTGCAACACCTCAGTGATTCCCTGTGTGAGGTGAGGAGCGAAGAGCATCAATATCATGCCAGACAACTGAATGCCATATTAAACTGTCTTTTTGCAATATTTTTGCAGCAACACGGCCAAGTATTCGGACTACGTGTTCAAGAAGCGCATACTAATGGAGCAGATCGAAACGAAGCTGGACCAGGGCCTGGATCGTTCCATTAGCGCTGTCATTGGTTGGGTCAAGGTCTACCTGCAGTACGAGCAAAAGAAAACTGACTACAAGCCAGAGACTGATGTCGATACCATTTCCTCAGCTGTAAGATCCCAGACTGCTATATATATATATATATATAAATATAACTATTATTATCTGTAGGCCTGTCTGCAAGTGGTGCAAAGCCTTCAGCCCGTAATTGTGCAGATCAAAAAGTGTGTGGATGGCGAGAACTTGCAGAATGTTCTCACAGAATTTGGCACACGTCTGCATCGGGTTATCTACGATCATCTGCAGACGATGCAATTCAATACGGCCGGTGCCATGTGCGCCATTTGCGATGTCAACGAGTATCGCAAGTGTATTAGGGAGCTGGATAGCTCACTGGTGACGCAGCTGTTCGACATACTCCATGCCCTGTGCAATCTGCTGCTCGTGAAGCCACAGAACCTTCAAGAGGTCTGTACGGGCGATACTTTGGTGAGTGGTGGTCATTAACAATACCTGTCTGTGGGCTGTCTAACGTTTCAACATCATAACGAATTTAGAACTATCTGGACAAGTCTGTGGTGCGGCAATTCATTCAGCTGCGAACTGATTTTCGGATCATCAAGAACACCAACTATCTGAAGGGTATCATTGAGTGAGAGTGCCCTCGAGACCAAGACCCCGCCAATGAGTCACATTCCGAAATTTTCCACCTTTTTGTGCATTGAACGGATTGATATATTGATTGGAGGAGAAAGAGGAGGAGGGGGGACATTCATTATCTAATAATATTTAATTATAGTACGCTTTTGGTTCTTTAACTTTCAATTAAACTCGAGTGGGCGATGGTTCTTTATTTTTATCTACTCGAACACATCGTCGACAAAGCCACTTAATTTATTATTTTTTACCGTGTGGGTGTCTGCGCGTGTCCGTGTTCCCGCACCACCAATCCACAGTCACCGGATCCAAAACAAACCCTTGGCGTCGTCACCGGCTACATCTTGGCGTCGATTCGATCGGCTCATTCGACCAGGCTCCGCAGTTAATAAATCAAAGTTTATGGCTGCTCCGGAGAGTGCGCGCTCCCACGGCAGAGAGATACCAGCCGGAGTGCCGCAGAGCCGGATTGGCCAAACGTTTGGGCCACTATTGGGCAGTGCCACTGGTGTCAGTTACCTTTTGGCAGTCCGTGAAGCAGTCCGTATCTGCGAGCAAAGAAAACCGTTGAACGACCGTTCGTGATCCGCATAATCGAAACCTCTTTGTTATTGTTATTGATATTATTTTGGGAAACGAAACAAATTTTTTGCACACCTACGCTAATAAGCGAAACGTTTACTACTTATTCTAATCGTTGCGATCCGAGCCCATTGAGTTGATTAAGCAATGCGAGGCGCTACTGTTTACTACCTCAAAATACTCTTGGCCATTTGTACGATACACGAAATGGCCGGTGGCCTCATCAGGAATACGACAGATGCCGCCTACAAGAAGTATCTGTCACTCAAGTCGCTGCCATTCGAAGACTGCGGTGAGTAGAACACGAACAAGAGGGTGGTGTCTATATGTATATCAACCGGAAATCGTAATACCTCAAAGAGAAATCTCGCTTCTACTTCCTCTGGCGTAATTAGACGAATTACTCGCATATTTCTGATAATGTCACAATGAAATAACAATTTTCCCTGAACCATGAATAGAGAGGCGTAAAATGATAAATACTTTTGGTATATTAGTATCATCAATCAATGGAAATATCTAATCGGAGTGCAAAAAATTTTAAATAATGAAACGAAAAATAATTGAACGATTATTAAGTGCTTCAGGAAAAACCAATGACAAATATGGCAATTAAATTAAAATCATTTGAATATTAGTGCAAGAATCGGATATAAGATACGACAAAGATTTAGATACAGCATCCTATTTCCAAAAATAAAAACCATTTAAAATACTCTATCGATCGGTGGAAATCCCCTAAAAGAGTATCAGACATACTATTGATAACGCCCAATTCAATTCTGGTTTCCACAGTGTGTTTGATTAAGTGGATTATTTATTGACTGACATACAGAATCAATGATTTATGCTCTGGGCTAAACTGAATTGTAAACAATAGTAAGTACGAGTATTGTATCCCCTTGAGGAGAATTACCTTGCAGTTTCAATTGTGACGAGACCGAGACCCCCCACCCGACTGGACTGAAACAAACTGAAACCCCAAATTAAATGAATAGATTACTGTGTGAGTAATCTGCTGCTCCTGCTAAATTTGAAAGATAGAAACGATATTGTTCTGAAGGCCTTGGAAAGTGCAGTTGGTCAAAGATTATGGTATATATATGTACAATGTACTTACTGCTGAGATAAGCCCAGCCCAGACCCAGAGACTTAGATACTTGCTACTGTAATAACAAACTAAAGGCTTCCTTTTCTGATTGGGAATACCTAAATTACTTATTATAATATTTAAGTGCAAGGTTTCCTTTAATCTAAAATTTTTTTTCGGATTTTTATTGGGATTTTTATTTGCAGGTTCTTTGTACAAAGTCAACTACCTGGAGATCGAAAGCTGTTCAACATTGCCTTGCTCCATGGCACGGAATGCGATTATTAAGGTGACGGTGCTCTTCGATGATAACGGTAAGACTAAAACCTCCACTGATAACACACGAATCCTATGCATCCAAGTGTACATATGCACATACATATGTACTGTACATTGATGAAATGTACGAGCGAGAGCAAAAAGACAGGCACTCGGAATCAAAAATAGATCTGCGCGGGCGAGTCTGTCGCATTGTAGTCAGGGAAGCAGCAACGTATACGGATACGCAGACGGTAGTGTGTGAACCAGGCGATAATAATTCGTCTATGCCGTAAAAGTAATTGAGCCAAGATTGTAAATCAAACAAATAGTTTGAGCAAATAATTTAGCATTATTTATATGACTTCTTTGCTGTGCGAAGGCGGAGATATCGATTCATAAGTAAACTAATTTGTGCTTAATGATATTTTGATTAGTCAGCACAAAACAGATTCAGTATCTACATATCTATGTAGATGAATAGATCTCAGCACGTTTCAGATAGTTTTGATTGTGTGTGTGTAAGAAGAGGAAAGGGTTTAAACTTTAAGAAAAGATTGGCAAAAAAAATTGCGATAAATATGGTATACCCTTCCGATTAGAGTGGGAATATGCAGCAAAGTTGTTGACGCATCGACTAATCGAATATTTCACAGGCAATGGCGTTACCTTTCTGAAGCACGAAGTGCGTTGGGTGTTCAATTATATCAAGACCCAGGCGGCCATATCACCGGATCCCTGCGATGGCGATCACGACTGCATCATGAGTGCCTCCGATGGCAAGACCTATTGGGCCAATATCTTTGTGAACGAGTCGTTGCCGGTGGTAAGTGAATATCACAATCCAATCTCAACGTTCGCACGGATCATTAAGGTGGCTCATTTCAGATGCGGGGCAGCATGCTGTGGGAGTCCAAGGATGAGTGCCAACAGAACCTCATATGCTTTGAGGTCCCAGTGCTGATCACAGTGTGAATACACCGCCGTACATTGTACCGTTCATACATACATATGTGTACACTATATATAACGAAAATAAAGTAATTGGTGCATGCAAAACAACAGCAAAATGTGTGACCCTCTGTGCCTGTGGCTGTGTGCATCCTTTAATGAAATTTTGAATGAAACTCATGCCGGAGCGAGTGTGCGTCTTTGGCTTTAACCAACGACTTTGATACTCATTGTTGCTAACAATTGTTCAGATTTGATTCAAATTTAAATGATTTATCTAGCAACAGATTAAATTACATTCAAAATATTCTCAGATGGAAAGTTAGGGAGATCATTCAAGGGAAGGGAAATGTTTCTGCTGATCAGTAATTCAGATATACCCATGTCAGCCAAGGGTATAACAATCACGAGATCTTTGCTTCGGCTGCCTGCTCCTGCTGAGACCCGCACGCACACTGACCGACAAAAGAGAGTGGAGCGAAGAGCGTCATCAATCCGAGAGCGGGCGAGAGAGCGGCCGCTACAAGTGGAGCACTGCAATTGCGTTTGGTTTGGTTTGGGGCCCGGTGTGTGTCCGTTCAGTGTGTCAGTCAGTCTTTGCGGTTGCAACGCGACGGTCGACCCGAACCGAACCGAACCAAGCACCAGCCACATCCAGACGTGGACAGGAGCAGACCGGACACCGGGACAGTGCAAATCGAAAAACGGAACAGAGCCGGGCAAATATCGGGCGTAAATTAAATAATAAGAGGGGTGCCGTGTTGTCTGTGCAGCAGCGATCAAAGAACTCCAACTTAAAGTTAAACCGCCTTGAACCGTCTTGTTTGCTTAGTGGATCATCGGTTCGGATCGGATCGTATCGGATTGGAACGGGGATTCCGTTCGGTGTGGGTGGAGCCTGTGCTCTGGGAAGTGCCTCTGAAGTTCCCCGAAAGTATTTTCCATTATTTGTAAGTACCTAAAAATGTAACGCGCCCCTCGTCTCCTCTCCTCTCGTTCGGTTGCCATTTGCGCAATTTTTGGTCGGCGTAAAATGAGATTGCCTGCGTGCTAATTGCGGCAATCGTGGCGGACAGGCGGACAGTCGCACAACGCTCGGGGTGGGGTAGCGCAGACAGTGGAGGATGGGGTTGATGTTGACAATCGCCAGAGCAGAGTACCCTACGCATCGCTTGTTTCTCTACATATCGCAGAACCTTGAAGCTAAAACTTGACACCGACCATAAGCACCACATCTAAGTCCACATCCTCCTTCGTTTCGGTGAGTTTCGGTTGGGTTGTTGGAACATTTTTGTTTGAAATATTACGAAAATGTGATCAGGATGGCCGCTAACAAAGGCGTGTGGGAAAGTGTCTCCATCTCAGATGACTCTGAATGAATGAATCAATATGGGAATGAATGAATGAATGAAGCTGCCTGCCTGCCTGCCTGGTTGTGGTGTTCTACTTTCATTACTCTTGTATCGAATGGCACTCGTACATGTGCCTGCATTTTGTGTCATAGGATACTCCCATCTCCGCTAATAGGTTCAATTTCCAACGCCTCCTCTTTGTATGGCAGGAATTTAGTTTGAAAATATACAAATTGACTCTTCTCTCTCCCTGTAGCTTCCTGGTTATGCCCCTGAATATTATTTCTGATTATATTTCACAATAAACAATCGTTTCATATCTACTGTGATTCACAATTGTCTGGTGTTGCCGATGCCGTTGCCCATGCCGTTGCCGTCCCTCGGAAGAACCCCATTGAAGTTTTTTGTTTGTTTTTAATTTGAGATCTTCCCCATTGCTTGGAGGCATCTTAGCGCCGAAATTGATGATTGTTCCGCCACAAGCCCAGCAACAGGCCCCCGCCCTTTGGGGTGTTTTGTTACTCTCCAACTCACATCCTTCTCTTTCCCTAGAGTGAGGGGTTTTTCTCAGTTTCATTCTTTCCCCTCGATTCCCCTCGGACGTAAAGCGTTTTTTCTGGAACTACCGATGCACTTCAGCAGAACCACAATACGATGACGTTGCTTGTTGTTAAACATATACTCTTCTAGAGGGTACTACAGAGAGGTACAGATTTCTGACCTGAGTGCCTCGAGTAGGATGCCTGGACAGATGTAAACCCGAAACAGATTAGACAGATCTTATGGTAGATATTTGCACATATTTGTTGATATTAGTGGGTCCATATTTGATTGAAACTTTGAAGCTCGAACCTTTAAGATAGGGTAGCCCAAAAATCTGTAATCATCATCGTCATCAGCTCCGACATCCTTCGTAGCCGTTCGCTTAGGATAAATTTGTACAGCGTGTCTCCAGTGTAGACTCTACATTCAATGAATATCTCCGAATATGTCCCTGTGGTGGGTACATCACCCATAACATCTGCAAGTGTATCAAATGTTTCGGTTACCCATAGCTAATCTTCCACTCTTAGTGTTGTTGCTGCTGCTGCTGCTGTCGTTGGTCAAAGTGTTAAACGATTTGCATCATATTACACAAAGTTGCTGCTGCTGCTGCTGCTGCTGCTACTGCTGCTGCTGCTGTTACTGTTGCTCCTGGGTCTGGCTGTGGCTGTGGGTATGGCTGGTGGGTCTTGGTGTATTGCCTGGCCATTGTCGCCAGAGTCGAGAGCGTCAAGCCTCGTGCTATTGCTATTGTGCTAAGCTTTGCATGAGGAACGAGGCAGATGGAGGAGATGGAGCTGCCACACTGGGGGCAAAACAAAAGCAACAACAGAGCCACCAGCAGCAGCAGCAGCAGCAGCAGCAGCAGCAGGAGGAGGAACGGCAAACCACCAACGATTTATCACAGCAACGACGTCAACGAAATCGATCCGGATCTTAGAGTACCCCCTACCCGACCTCACCCTGAATACAAGTATATATACGAGCATATATGTATACGTGTTCTCCCCTTCTTTCCCCTTCCCTACTGTGTGTTGTGTGTGTGTCTGTTTTAGCTTGTTGTTGTTGTTGTGTGCGTGAAGCATAAAATGTAATTTTGAATTTTTGAATCGTTAAAAGCAATTAATTGCCACTACGCAACGGCAGCCAGAATGGCGGGGCATGCACCAGACTGCCACTGCCACTGCTCCAATCCACTCCACTCCACTCCGCTGCAACTGTCTCATCAGCATCACTAGGCATCAAACCAGCCCCCCCTCATACCCAACCCATGAATCCCAATCCACTCTCCACTCCTCACCACTCCACACCCCAACGTTCCCCCTCACACATCCCCAACCACCACACCACACATCCAGAGAGAGCCCCCATTCATACGACAGGCGGCATTGGTCGCCATAGCTTTACGAGTGTACTGCCCAATTTTGTTGCAAATTTTTCGTTCCGCGGAACTTGTGGTGCATTTCATCTCGTCTGCTCTTGGACAGACGGTCTTGGTCGGGTCGGTGTGGTGTGGTGTGGTGTGGTGTGGTGTCGGTCGGTCTGCTGTCTTTTGTCCTCAGTCTTCTGTCGTCTTTCGTCGATCCGTTGATCGTTGCGCGCACATTCATTTGTCGCTTAATGTCCCTCAGTTAGGCCGCCCCAGCCGCAGCCGCAGCCCCAGCAACCACTGTACCCCGCCGCCCCTCCTGCTCCTACTGCTCCCTTATACCCACATTCTGTTCGGTTCGGTTCTGCTCCCAGAGTGTCTGTATCGCCTTGGTATGTGCGGCATCTGCTGGCTAGGCTTCTGTGATGTGATCTGATGATGCTGCTGCTGCAGCTTCTGCTGCGGTGGTGCTTCTTTCTGTGGATGTGCCTCTGTGGATGTGCCTCTGTGGATGTGGTGACATCCACTTGGAGCACAGCACTCGCACATTCGTCGTAGTCGTATTTTCTTTGGCTTGCACATTCACACGCATCAGCCAGAAAACAGCAACAGAAACGACAGCCGAGCCGCCATATAAACCGAGAACCGAGAGCCAGCCGACCAACCATCCACCATCGACCATACCATAAAACATTAGTTTCCCATTTGCGTGCTAAATACCCTACATGGGGCATGCATCCATTCAGGCATATCGATTGTCTGGAATGCTTTGGGCCAATAAACAATTAAGCCAAAGAGTAGGAAGCCCATGGATCATGGAATCACTCTACCCAGAGGAGATCTCTGTATGGATTACCGGAACATAATTGGAGAGCCCAGTGGGAAAGTTTCCTGGCAGGTCAGGACAGGTGTTCCCTTCTAATAATCATGTTTAGGGTGTAGGTGCAGGGTGATTGGCAAGTCGTATGCATTCTGTAGCACTTAGAATGGGACAGCCGCTGCCTCTCTGTCTCTGTGTCTGTCCGCTGTCTGGTTGTCCGTCCGATACCTCTCTCGTGGCACGCACTATGATGCGCGCTTTGAAGTCCTGTCAAGCACTTGAGATACATTTATGTATTTTTTGCATTTTCATTGCTTCGACTCGACTCGGAGCGGGGGGTGGCAGGGCCGAGGGGGACGGGGGTCCGTGCGGCTGCGCACAAATGCGAAGAATGATTAGTTAGTTGGTCATGCAAAATGGGTGAAACCGGTTCGGATCGGATCGGATCGCATCGCATCGCATATTCGCACAGCGACCGATCCTGCCAGCATCAAAATCAACATGCAGCATGTGGCATGCTGCTGATGATCGGCAGCCGGGGCACGGGCACGGGCACGGCACACAAATTATGAACGCACGGAATGCTCCCGAGACTCGAACGCGATGAGATCAGAACAGATCTTACCTGGCGAATCATTTGCAGATTGCAATCATCGGAGCACCATCATCATGGAAATCCACTCCCTGAGGGCGGCCCTGCTGGCTCTTCTGTTGCTGCTGCTGTTGGGGCATCGCTCCTCCTCGACAAACGCCAGCCACCAGCTGCAACGCCAGCGAGCGTCTTGGCTGCGCGACAGCACAGACATCAAGGACAAGATCATCGAGCTGCAGTGTCTGGCGCGATGCGGGAGCACCACCAGCAGCAGAGCGGAGCGAGAGCGTTGCCTGGACGAGTGCATCCTGGAGCTGCTGCGGGCGCCACGGGCCGGCAGCTGTCCCCCCCTGGGCAGGCAGACGCGGCCGCGACTCTCCTGCCTGGACAACTGTGTCTACGATCACGACTGTGCCGATGTGCAGAAGTGCTGTGTGTCCGCCTGCGGGCCAGTGTGCGTGGATCCTGTGGGACTGCGCAATGACACGGAACTGCCGCCGATACCCAGGATTCAGTACTTCAAGATGTCGCGCGGCCACAAGGTGGAGCTGCGCATCGAGTCGTCTCTGCTTGTCTACTACTTCCATTTGGAGGTGCGCTACCACATCGGACGATTCTTTGCGCCCCGCAAACTCGGCCTCTGGCAGTGGCAGAAGGTGGAGAAGATAATGGAGACGAACAGCGGACGGAGCAAACTGTAGGTTGAGCCAGTCGGCAGCAATCGATGATAGCATTCCCTTACCTTACCTAATTCCAACCCACAGCACGGATGTCTTCTTCAACATGCGGCCGGGTCGCTGGTACCAGGTGCGAGTGGCGGCCGTTAATGCGTTTGGCTTCCGTGGCTACTCCCAGCCAACGCGCCCCTTCTCCTCGGCTGGCAGTAAGTGTGTCCATAATCCCCTCACGCCCATCCACCACCTCTGCTAATGCTCCACACACACACACACACACACAGATCCGAAGCCACCCAAAGCGCCCAACGATTCGAAGATTATATCCAAGCAGTACGATGGACGCTTCATGAACGCCAAGCTGGTGTGGTGCCCCTCCAAGTCGAATCTGCCCGTGGAAAAGTACAAGATCATTTGGTCGCTGTATGTGAACAGTGCAGAGGCCTCGATGATCACCCAGGACACCTATGTGAAGGATGTGAGTTGAGTCTGCATGCGTCTCCGTGATGGTTCCCCTTCAATTATGTCCTTGTCCTTGCAGTCGCACCAATTCGAGATCAGGAAACTGCTGCCCAACTCCTCGTACTACATCCAGGTGCAGGCCATTTCCTATAGCGGCTCGCGACGCCTGAAATCCGACAAGAAGTCGCTGCTGTTCAACACCACGCTGCAGTCCCTCGAGGCCTATGCTCCACTCCAGTGTTCCGCGCACAACTTTAGGCGAAAGTATCATCATCACATCCCCACCACCAGTAGCGGCAGCAGCAGCAGTACCAGCACCAGCACGGAGAGAACTTCCACGCCGGTCAACATCAATGAAGTTGCACCCGTCGTGAATCGGACCACAGCAGTAGCCGTAGCCGCAGTCACCTCGTATGATGTACGTTTCCGGCTGAACCGGAAATTCGGCATGATTGTGCAGATTTTTGGATTCCAGCCACACAAGGAGAAGTAAGCGATGCTCTCATGCTGTGCTCGTGTGCTCGTGCCTCTCCGCCGTACAGTACACATGTTATGCAATGATTTTTGTAAACATTTTCTGCACCGAAAACAAACAAAAAACAAAACCAAAAACACTTTTCTGATGCCGCATTCGATTACAGGGTCTATGAACTGTGTCCCCAGGAAACCAACTGCGAACAGCGCGAGTTCAGTGCGATTCGAGCCAAAGTAAGTATCGTACCCGTACCCCGTACCCTCACCCTTACACATACCCCCCTCCCCGCGAAATCATACAACAAGTCATGCTGACGGCTGCCACGGCCACCAGCCACCAGCCACCAGCAAGCCAACGCTAGCCGGGTTCGTGCCATTCGGATAGTGGCAGTGGCAGTGCCAGCAGCCCACATCGATGGCCAAGTGATTAGGCCACATTGCCTATAAGTATTTCATTGACCAATTGGATTTGGCTTACATGGCACAATTCATGTTTGTTGGCGTTGGACACGTTTTTACAGCGCCACGTACGTGGTTTAATTGTTGTTCGGGAAATTCGATCCCAAGGGTCTAGGTGGACCAAGGATTGGCACAGAAAATATCCAAAATAAATACCATGCATACCATTACCATTAATTATTTTTGGCATTGTTTTGCAGAAAGATTCTCTGGAGTTCAGCAAGCTCAAATACAACACGACGTACGTGCTGAAGGCCCTGCGATCCAGTCCAAACTCTGTGCTGGACGAAACGAGGAATGTCTTCACCTTCACAACGCCCAAGTGTGAGAACTTTCTTAAGACTTTCCCCAAGCTGCAGATGAAGTGCAGCGGCGATTAAGCAGCAGCGCCGCAGCACCCACAGTAAGCGATGGGAGAGAGTTCAGACGGCGACACACCCACTGACCTCCCTCCCCACCCCACATACCATGAGATTATACTAGATTGTAAATAATTGTATGTAAAACTTAACTTTTTACTTATTGTTAGACCTAAGAACCACCACATGCCACACCACACCACACTACAAACCACATACACAAATCGGAACAAAGATTCGCGTCTCTGTCTATGTGAAGAGGTCCTTGAACTGCTGCAGATCCTGCTCCATTGTGCATTTCCTACCGGTGGTGGTGGCACCTAACAATTTGCAATCCTCCAGGCGTTTGTTGTGCTCCAGCAGTGCCGCTATCAGTCGCGTGGTATACAGCACGGGTCCACCAACTAAATGCAAAAAATCGTAGTGCTTTTCGCGCCGCGTACTAAACAGAATGCGTTTGGACACAAAGTCGCCGTAGTTACTGATTCGTCCCACACAGACGTAGCGTTGAAGCGACGGGGCATACACCTCGATGACCGCACGCAGACTTTCAGACGGCGTTAGGGCCGCCGCTGGCGCATACACAATGCGAAAGGGCAGGTCCAGGGCCTTGTAGAAGTCGATGGCCAGACTTAGTATGTGCTCAAGCTGAGCGTTCGCTTGGTCAGCCGATTGGGTGGCCACAAAGCTTTGCACAGCATTCGTTTGGGTGGCCGTATATAGACTGGGGGTGGGTCCGTTTTGCTGGGCATCGGCGCGATTGTAGCTGCGTCCACAGCAGACATAGCGCAGGGGCAACACGGAGGGATAGACGCACAGCTTGGTCATGGCACCCAGATAGCTCTCGAAGGCGGCACCGCCAGTCAGGTAAGCTGTATTTATCTTGTTTTGCAGCTGCTCCTCTCTGACCATGTGATAGTCTCCCAAAGGAGTGGCGTTGGCCTCCAGGAGAACACAGCGCACAAAGTCCGGATTTGCGGTCTGAACAAAGTCGCCTTGGGTGACGAAATAGCGGGCCAGCGCATGCATAGCATTGACATCAAAATGCGCTGCCTGCCCCATCATGTAATAGCGATTGTTGTCCACAAAGTTTATGAGATCTTGCCGCTCCAAATGGGATGGTACGTCTCTGGTGCTGTCCGGCAGGCTATGACGATAGATCAGCAGTCCCTCCTGGTCTCCAGTGGGACACTGGGGATGCAAGCGATTGGGTAAATGCAAGAAATCGTGTATAAACTCATCCTCGATGGGATAAAGTGCCTGTTTGAGGGCTTTCAAATCGTTGCGCAACGTTTTTCCCCGCTCTTTGAGCTCTTCAATCTGCTGCTCCCTGTCTCCTTTTTTGGCTAGGTCCTTGAGTTTTTTTGTGACTGCTTCGCGTTCCCCCATCACCCGCTGGAGTTGCTCATGGTGTGTCTGGTACTTTTGGTACTTGCGAAGCACACTGTCCAGACTGATGTCCAGGCCACGGCTGGCGATGCTCTGCTCCAGGGAGGCGCGCTCATCAAAGGTTCCCGCAAAGTCCAAATACGGGTGCAATGTCGCGTAGTTTTCGTTCGCCTTGTCGCCGGTTATGTACAGAGCGGAGATTTTCCTGATGCATCCTCTTTGAGCCGCACGGCATTTTCTTAACGCAATTTGAAGGCCTAACATAATTTTAGTAGCCGAATCAGCTGTTGGCAGTGCTGCCAGATCGAGAGTGGAGTTCGTTGAGGGTACTCCTCCAATAAACTGTCATTCGAAATTTAGTAAGAAGTGTACAAGAAGCTGGACAATCTCATATGACTCTGGTATCTTCCACACTTTCTCATCCATTACGAATTTTGTGAACTTTGACATTTTATTTGTATTCCTCTGGCTGCTGCCCACCGCACCTTTATCTGAGGCGATGAAAAATAAACTGACTAAACTTGCTTACCCATTTTCCTCTATACATTTCTTATAGAGTGGAGTCACTCCTAGCTTATGACCGGAATTCAGGCAGGAAATGAGAAAACAGAGCATAAACAGCATAATTGTGTTGCAGGAAAATGTGAAATAGCATAGTTTGAGTTTTCAATGTACAATGTATTTCTGGACTACCAGTGCTGCCAGATCGGAAAACTACGAAAAACGGTGCCTCATGCGGATAACGTTTATGCGGTTGAATTTCGTGACAACTTGAAATAATTCAACTTTTACGAAAATCAAACACGCCTTTAATATACAATACAAAGAATAGATATAGATTAGTGGCAAGCAATAACAAATTGTCATACATATATACAACACAAAAATATTAGTCAACATTAAGATTTTGGTGCCTTTTGAGTACAAAAGTCATCAGTTAAACAACTTTGTTGTATGGGTATAAAAATAGAAATTCTCTCCTGAATAATACTTAAAGACCTTGATGGTTGCGCTTTTCCAGTTGCTCGATTATCATTTCATTTCCTGTAGAACCTGAGCAAAAGACGGTGGCGGTTTGAAGTTGGTGACCTCTTTGTAGATGAGTTCCTTCCACTTGTCTACCGGCAGATCCATGTCCTCGAAACTTTGATCGTACAGCGGTGAGGTATGCTCGTCGCTAGGCTCCGAGTACTTCTCCAAGTACGGATGGGCCAAGGCTTCTTCGGCTGTGATGCGCTTCTCAGCATCCAGCTCCAGCATTTTCTCCACCAAATCGATGGCCAACGGATTGGCGTTTTCAAACACCTTCTTAAAGCTGCGTCTCTTCATGGGCGGCAGCGACAAAATATAGTTGCGAGCACTCTCCGATGAGATCTTCTTCATGAAGTCATCGGGCGGCGTGCCCAGCATCTCCATGATCAGGTTGAGCTGATGAATATGATCGGTGCCCGGGAAAAGAGTGCGTCGCGTGATCAGCTCTGCCATAATGCAGCCCACGGACCAGATGTCCACCGTCTGGTTGTAGTGCTGCCAGTTGAGCATAATCTCCGGGGCCCGATACCAACGTGTGGCCACATAGCCAGTCATCTCGTTCTCCGTCGGACGAGCCAGCCCGAAATCCAGAATGCGCAGTTCGCAGTCCTCGTTGACTGCAATGTTGGACGGCTTCAGGTCGCGATGAATTACACCAGCGCTGTGAATGTACTTTAGACCCCTGAGTATCTGGTAGACCAGGAATTGTACGTGATCGTCGGACAGGTGCTGCATCCGTATGATGTTGTTCAGATCCGCATCCATCAAATGGGTGACCAGGTATACCTGTTGAAAGCTCTCCAGCGACGAGTTCTCCGGATGAGGATGGAATATGTCCAGCAGCCCGATTACATTGTCATGATCCATGTGCTTCAGCAGTCGCAGCTCGCGATACGTTCGCTTCGCATGCACGGACGACTGAAAAGGGCGTGCCAACTTCTTTATGGCCACATGCATGTTGGTGCCCCGCACCAGTGCCTTCGAGACCTGGCCATAGGCACCAGAGCCCACGGGCTGCAGGTTCTGGTAGATCTCAGGGATTTCCCATTCTGTGCGATTTATGTCCAATTTGTAGAACTTTTGGGTCTTTGACGCTGACATGGTGTTGCTGCTGCTCCTATTGCTTTCGCGATCGTTGCCGTTGCCTTGAACTATTGGCACCTATCAAAGTAGAGATATTAAACAGCAATACGAGCAAAACAAAAAAGTCTGATTACGTTTATCTTGAGCAGTTCCAGTTCCACGGGCACACTGCACGCCCAAGACTACGAACAGGAATGCCAAGAAACGTCCGAAAGCATATTTATTTGTTCTATTACTCCACTTCGTTGTGATGCGTGTTAGGGGGACGTGAATCAGAGAAACGTTCTCGGGACAGCAACGAATTTCGTGTGCGCTACACAGCAATACATAATTGAAACGAGTACTAGGGCCAGCTTTCAGAGTTCTGCTGTACGATCCATTTGAGCTACAACAAATCGAAGATTTATTTCACATGAATATCAATAGTGTCTTGGTAAATTAATATGCGCTAACTTTTAAATTGTACCGCATTTAAATAAAAATAAATGTGCGGCGCTGCCAGACTGGCTGCATTGATTTCGATAGGCAATCAGCTGCTGTTTACATTTACATCGAATTGCAGACACAGGGCGCCGATTCGTTTTTTCGCAATATTTAATTTTCTCTGAATGAAGTCATTGCGACCAACACGCGCCTGCGCACTGGTAGCCTGAACATTATCAAATACGTTAATCTAATCGTGTCATAAACACTGGGTGACAATTCGCCGGCCATCAGAACGTTTAGTATTTCGCCGAAGCCGCTCGCGTCCGTTTCGCCCCACAGCAGTTGTGACCCAGAAAAAAGTGACTGTAAGTTAGTAAATTGAAAACATGGGGCCTGTTTAAAAGGTCCGCGCCCCTCAGTATAGAATTTAAAGGTTCCCAGGTTTTGTTAATCCCTCGACCCCAAACGAGGCCCAGCTGTGATGGGATGAAAAATTGTATCTCGTTTTCACCACAACGAGCCATGAACTGCGACCTTTGGAACGTGGACAGTGGACTTTTAACATGCATATTCTGTTTAATCAAATCTCTGTGATAGCAGCGGCAGCAGCAACGTTAACATGAGACTTAAGCTACAGAAATACATACATATGTATATATCTGTTAATGGACAGCGATTAGATTAGCTGCGGGGGTTCAAAGACTGTTAATATTTGTTGGTTTTCTTGTCGAAGGAACAGGATAGAAACGGAGAAGCAACTGCTGTTCAAGGGGTTGTTGCAGCATAAAAACCACCCCCACCAGCCACTCCCACTACAAATTGTTTTTCTTCTTTTGCAGTCCAGTACTAGTCAAAATGACTTCGACTCTGCTGCCTGGCAACATTGTATATGGCGGACCCATAACCGAACGTGAGGCCCAGGACTACAGATCCTTGGGCCAGTTCGTATTGGACAAATACAAGAGCTTCGGAGACCAGACGGTGCTTGTGGATGCTGTCAGTGGGGCCGAATACACGGCCAGCTTCATGCACAAGTCGATTGTGCGACTGGCTCACATACTCCAGAAGCTGGGCGTCAAGCAGAACGACGTCATTGGGCTGTCTAGCGAGAACAGCGTCAATTTCGCACTGGCCATGTTTGCCGGCTTTGCTGTTGGCGCCACGGTGGCACCCCTCAATGTCACCTATTCGGAACGCGAGGTGGACCATGCCATTAATCTGTCCAAGCCAAAGATCATATTCGCCTCCAAGATGACCGTCGATCGCATCGCCAAGGTAGCCAGCAAGAATAAGTTTGTAAAGGGCATCATTTCGTTCAGCGGCAGCTCCAAGAACTTTAAGACTATCTATTCCTTCAACGATATGATGGACAACGACAAGTACCAGACAAAGTCGGAGTTCTTATCGCCAGTGGCGAACAAAAATGAGGATGTTTCCCTATTGTCTGCTCTTCGGGAACCACAGGCCTTCCCAAGGGTGTGCAGCTAACCCAGATGAATCTTCTGGCCACCCTCGACTCGCAAATGTAAGTGACCTCAGCGATTCCCTACAATGTATTTGTATACAATGTATACAATGTATTCCTTGTCTTTTCACAGTCAACCCACGATGATTCCCATGTCGGAGATAACGCTCCTGACAGTTATTCCCTGGTTTCATGCCTTCGGCTGCCTGACACTCATCACCACCGGCTGCATGGGCGCCCGTCTTGTGTACTTGCCAAAATTCGAGGAGAACCTCTTCCTCTCGGCCATTGAGAAGTATCGCGTGTTAATGGCGTTCATGGTGCCACCACTAATGGTTTTCTTGGCGAAGCATCCGATTGTGGACAAGTACGACTTGTCGTCCCTGATGGTCTTGCTGTGCGGAGCCGCACCGCTTTCCCGCGAGACAGAGGATCAAATCAAAGAGCGCATTGGAGTGCCATTCATTCGGCAGGGCTATGGCCTGAGCGAGTCCACGCTCAGTGTGCTCGTCCAGAACGATGATTTCTGCAAGCCAGGTAGCGTCGGTGTCCTTAAAGTCGGCATCTACGCCAAGGTGATTGATCCCGACACGGGCAAGCTGCTGGGAGCCAATGAGCGCGGCGAGCTCTGCTTCAAGGGCGATGGCATCATGAAGGGATACATTGGCGACTCCAAGTCCACGCAGACGGCCATCAAGGATGGCTGGCTGCACACTGGCGACATTGGCTACTACGACGATGACTTTGAGTTCTTCATTGTGGACCGCATCAAGGAATTGATCAAGTACAAGGGCTTCCAGGTGCCACCAGCCGAAATAGAGGCTCTGCTGCTTACGCACGAGAAGATCAAGGATGCGGCTGTCATTGGCAAACCCGACGAGGCCGCCGGCGAGCTGCCACTGGCATTTGTGGTCAAGCAGGCTAATGTGCAGCTGACGGAGAACGATGTGATTCAGTTTGTTAACGAGCATGCCTCGCCCGCCAAGCGGCTGAGGGGTGGCGTGATTTTCGTCGATGAAATTCCAAAGAATCCGAGTGGCAAGATCCTGCGCCGCATTCTGCGCAACATGCTCAAGAAGCCAAAGTCCAAATTGTAAGCGGAGGATCCCTAACCCCGCCCCTCCTGTTTAGATTGTACAAATCGTTTACTATATGTATCGTTTTTATTATTGCTAAACTTTGTTTTATAAACTACCAACTGTTTTTTTTTTTTTTTTCGCTTTGTTTTCACGTATTTTTTGGCTCGTATTCTTTGAAAACTTAAATAAAATTGAAATACGTAACTCGCGGACACAATTTGGGCCTTTTGCTTTACAGATGCCATATACATTTGATGTCCGGAACTATCAATAACAAGAGTTATACATACATACATCTGTACATATGCATATCCAACCACTACACATCTTACAATACATTTTCGATCTCTCAAACAAACTCTTGTGTCCTGCTACCCATATTGTTACGCGAGTATACAGACTCTTCTTTACATATATGTACCTATATATATATATATATCAATATATATATGTATATATATTTATGTGTATATATTTATTTGAAATATTTAGCTACACTTCTGCTCTGTTCTTGTAAATAGTTGCTTAACATTTTTTGTTTGGTTTGTATGGGGAGGATAGGAAAGAGATCTGTTCACTATCGACTGGGGGATTCATTTGTGTGAGTGTGTGGTATATAAAGAGGTTTGTTTTTATGTTTATATATGTCTGTGTGGTTCTGTTCTGTTCTGTTCTCTAGCATTAGTTCACTAATTATTGTGTATGAAACCTTAAAATTTAAGAGAAATGCCTTGGTTTCTATAACGGAAATACATACATATATATACCATATATGTATATATATATATCAATAGTTTGTGTAAAATCTCTAACGTTCTTCACTGATCCACTACACTGCTCCCCATTCCAGTAGCCAGTACGTACTTATTGTTGCAATTCTAATCGACTTGGTGCATGACATATGAACTTACACTTAAACCTAAAATCGCTCGACACTCGAACACAACAAATTAGATGAATAAATTCAGTTGTTCACTTCGTTAGTTTCGTTTGCTTGCTTTTTGCATAAATAAAGTACGAGTGCATTCTAAAATTAGTTCTCCTATTCCCCTACCGCTTCCTACTAGTTTCCCTTTTTGGCACAACAAATGACAACAAATTATGGTTGAATCTCTCTCCTGATTGTCGCTTGTGAACAAAAAAAACCTTTTTCTTACGCTGTAAATGAATGTGTGTGTGTGGTTTAAATATTGCTAAAATTGTATTTTGATCCCTGGGACCATTATAAAAGACGACAACGACGATGAGGCAGAGGCATGATGACTGGTAAAATGATGTACATATATGTATGTATTATGGATACGGACCACCGAACCCAGCTGCCCTAAGGTGATAACTCGTAGCTATGATTAGATTCTGTTGCGGATCACACAATTATCTCCATGCGGTTCGCCTTGCGCGTGACCTTTGGCGGGCCTTGTGCTAAGTCCGACATGCCACCGTATTTGAACGAGAAGATGACAGTCTGTTGGCCAAAATTTGCTTCAAATCTGCAAGGAATCTCGCATTATATATTGTACCAGATCGCATCAGATGTACTTACTCTGTGCTTATGTGTATTTCTGGCGGTTTGCCTGTGGCATTTTGTATGACTAGAAACATTTTGGTCACTATCTCAATGACATGGCCCGTTTGGAACACAAAATCTCCCTTCTTACGACCAAATTCAGACTGCAAAACAAACGATTCGATCACCACTCTGTAGCCAACTGCCTATAGCCATCACTCACCGCCTTCACATGGAACACAGCAATGTCATCCAGGTAGGGGCTCAATGACATCCGATATATCTCCGAGGCAGGCACTCTGTACTTGATCTGCAGAGTTCGCTGGTCCAACAGCAGCAGCGATGAAGTGGATAGCACCAGCAGAATGGGTACAAACTGCAAGCGTACAATAAATATTTATCTTTCAGCTCAGTTTTCATCCAGAGACTTTCTGCCGTTGCTGCTTACCTTTCCACTGGAGCGGGCTATCTTATTGATTATGTCCGCAAAGACCACATATTGATCGTTTGTCTCGGCACATATCTTCTTCCACTGCTGATTGTGACGCAAACGCACATAATCGCCCACAAACGGATGCCCCACACTGCCAAGGAAGAGGCATACAGGATTAGAGCGGATAAATGGTGAATAGTCTGCTATCCATACCTGCGGGCATAGGAGGCTTTTCGATCCTTGAATATGATGCTGGCCGTAACCTTCTCACGCATACGATTGCGCGCCGTCTGATCGAAGGAGTGACGATATATGTAGCACTTCCAGCGATGATATATGGAGCGCAAGAGCCGAGAGGCGTCTGCAAGGAAGCCAGGCGCCGCCGGCCACTCGGTGGAGAGCGGACTCAGTGTGTTCGGTGGCAGCCGCAGCGGTATGGTCAGCAGGAACTGGCGTATCTTCCACTGGCGATAGTAGCGAGCTATCACCTCGATGGCCCATTTTACCTGGCGTTTGTACTTGAGCGATCGATACTCTTCACGTGCCTGCCGAATGGATAATAAAGAATATCAGACAATGATACTCAATAAGTGGGAAGGAATAAACAGTGGTAGAGAAAGTGTGGTAACAACATGCAATGCTTACAACACGATATAAACTCCACAAGTGCCTACGACCCGTGAAGGGAATGCCAAAGCGGCACTCCTACAAAGAAGAACATGCAGAAAAAATCAACGAAAAATTAAGGTAGAAGCTGGAACTGATGCTGAGTAGCTGTCACTACTTACTCGCCATGTGCGCCAGGCACTCGATATAACCATCTGACTGTGTCGCATGCGCTGGTACCGCTTCTTCGCATGATACATGCGAAACATTTTCTGGATGAGCACCGCCAGCTCACCGATACGCAGGCGTCGGAATTGCTCCAGCTCGTAGACGGTGCGCGGACTCCGCACAAACACATTCTTGGTGCCGATGGTGAACTCTGCCGATGGCAGCGGCAGATTGCGTATGATCAGGGCAATGCCCTCCACCTGGCTACCGCCATGGAAATGGGGCCAAGTGAGGCTATTGAGCAGCTTGTAGCGATGAAAGAACTTCACGTGCAGCAGGTGATAGCAATGGCCGGTGCGACACAGATGGACCAGCGGCATTAGTGACATGTAGCGCACCTGATGCTGTACCAGAGCCAGATCGAACTGATGCGGCTGCTTGCCCTCATTGGGCTTGATGCAGAACACATAATGGGAGCGACGATGCTTGACAGCGGCCAGCAACGTTTGCAGCTGGGTGCGTATGTTCGAGCTGAGAGTGCTGGGCTTTTTGCTCGTCTGTCGGCGTGGATTGCCCTCGGGGAACAGGCTCTGCACCAGCGACAGTTTGCTCTGATAGCAGGCGGCACTTATATACTTTGGCAGCATGTCAGAGTTTTTCTCCAGGAAGCGATGAATCGAGTAGTTAGCAACGTTGGCAAAGTGACGGATCCTGCAAAATAAATATACAAATATTCATGAAAATAAATTCATTGGATGGAAGGGAAATACCCACTGAAAACACATGGAATTACTGCCACTGGTCATGAAATTTGGATGCCCTGCACAGCATTGTTGGACACGCAAAAGCAGTGCCTCATTGCTGCTCAAATGGGACTCGTTGATCAGGCTGATGATGCCATAGCTTGGCTTGTCAATCAGCTCGCAAATGGACTCGTTGTCAAAGTAATCAATACGCGACCATTCCAATCCCTCCCGTATGTACAGCTCTTGCTCAGAGCGCAGTAAATGGAACACAAAGTTCTGCCAAAAAGAGTTAAAACAAGAGAAACATTTTTGATTATTGATTTTTTACTTGCCTGATGGATCTTTTCGGCACTGTAGTTGATGGCAAACTGCTCAAACGAATTGTGATCGAGCACTTCGAAGCCATAGAAGTCGAGCAGGGCCAGGTTCTTTTCGCGCTGCGTCGATTTCAGGGTCTCATTGATTTTGTTCACCAGCCACGTGAACAGACGACTGTAGAGTGTGCGGCACAGTGTATTTCGATTGTTGGCCGCCTGTCGGGCATCCATTTCGGAGCCCACATCCTCCTGACTGCTGTTCGAACTGTTGGCACGCGTCAGGCAATTGATTAGCACTTGAGCCTCCAGATTAAGCAACTGAGCGGTTTCTTGAACCTCTGCAAGGAGTATGAATTAATTAATGTGATTCTAATTATATGATATTTCATGCTCCAGAGCTTACCATACACATTGGACACCTGACAGCCCTCGGTGCCATCGATATTGGTCACGGGCACAAATATAAAGTTGCCCAGCTTTAGAACGACAGCAATGACACGAAAAATGGAGCTAGTCTCATCACAGCTAAGCCCCAGTACGTCCAGAGAACGCTATAAATGATAGATCATAGAAGGGTATAACCACTTTTCAGGTCTAGGGACTGAGAACTGACCTTGGTATAATGAAAGTTTAAGCGATCTTCCTCCATGGCAGTTGTGTTGCGCAGCAGCTCATACTTTTCCACATTTCGATACAGCTTGAGCGATTCTAAAAGCATTTGGGATATACATTTATTAGGCAAAAGCCTTGTGTAAAATTAGTTCAATAATTTACTCAGCAACTGGAGATCAGCTCCCAATAGTAATTGGTAGAATATGTGAAAGTTTCGCTCGCCAATGATGGTGTCCGTAATGCGCGTCTGTGGAAGGGATGGGTGGAAAAATGTTAGCAACAGAAAACTTTAACAAAAATCAAAAACTTTTTGTCTAAGAGCAAACCTTTTCCAGCATATCTTTTTGGGCAAGCATGGAGACAAATACCGAAATGGTTAATGGATTTACATACATATGTGTATAGTGACCTATTCGGGGGGTAGGGGGTTCTACTTACAGTGGGTTATGTGCACTCCCATCGGATCGCCCCTAAAATCAATTTCAATATCAAATAGTTTTCCCTGAAAAGCGAGACATTCATTTAGTTGTAATTTACATGGCACTTATGTATGTATGATTAGCCCACCACTTACATATCGGCTGGAGTTGTTGTTTTTCAGCGTACAGGCATTGCCCATGGCCTCTAGAAAGACATCAGCACAGGTGACGCACTCACGCAGCCGTTGTGTGGGCGATTTGTGGCGTCGATGCAGTGAGGAGCTGGCCGAAGGCGTGGGCGACACCGAGACCGAGCTAGGATGATGCGACGGCGGCGGCAGCTCGCCCAGCACTTTGCTTAGCTTGTGTGCATCGTACAGCGAAATACGTTGCGTGGATCCCATTAGGGAGTGCCGATCCCGATCCCTTTCTGGCTGACTCTCTGTGGAGTGCTGGCGCACCAGATTCGAGCAGCTACCGCGATTTAGATTGTTTTGGTGGGCAGCGGCGGTAGTGGATGATAGACGACTATTACTGCCGCGCAGCAGCAGAACCGGCGACTCGGCGGCGCCGCATTCTTCCTTCTCCAGGCTCTGGGCGCGTATGCATTTGCTGTGGCCGCACTGGCGACAGCCGCCGTGCGAGAGCATGGCATACTTGGGCGATGTGTTGTTGCTTGCCCCCTTTTGGGGCAGTGTGGCAGTGGCAGTGGCAGTGCAGGCTTGAGCTTGAGTCTGCTGATGCTTGAAGCATGACTTGGTTGGATGCAAGTGATGTGAGGATGAGGCGGCATGCGATTCGATCAGTGTGCTGATGTTCTCGCTGCTCTTGTGGTGTGAGAAATCAAAGTCCACGATTTTCTCACGCATATTACGCCTGCTCTGGCGTTCAATGCTCTCGGCGCGCGTCCTCGAGCGCTGCGATGGTCCAGGCGACGGTGACTGGCGACGTGCAATGGCCGACGGTGCGTTCTCGGCCCTGTTCTTGCATATAATAAAATTGGCAGTGCCGGAGCAGCTGCTCGAGGCACGCCTGTGGGCGTGCACGGGAACACCGCTGGCCGAGCTGGTGGACGATTGCTTGCGCAAGACATTCGGAGTGGGGCAGAACGAGCGATCCTGAATGTGAGTCAGAAAGTTGACAATCATTTTAAATGTCTCGGTTTTTCCTGCTCCACTCTCCCCCGTGAGCAGCACGCACTGGTCCTCGCTGTGATCCTTGAGGGATTGGTAGGCCAGGTTGGTGAGGCCGTAACTAAAAGAAAAATAGTAAGGAGAATGAAGCTGTACCATGGACACTGGCAATCCACTACTCACATGTGGGGTGGCAGCTGGAAGATGCCCTTGTCGCCATAGTTGCGGACATTGTCCAGCGTGTGCTCGGATATGTGATGATATGGATTCAGAGCCACAACAGAAGTTCCAATGTAGGTCTGGAAGACACAATAGACAGAGTAGCAGCTAGTGGCCATAAATTGTGCATGTTTTCTCTTACATATATATGATCCCGCTTATAGCGCTGATGGATGTTGTTTACAAAACTATCCTCGGACAGATTCTCGAGCAGCACCGAGTCCCAGGTGCCGATTTCCTGTTCCATTGCGACACCCAATTAAAACAACAGTAGTGGCAGCAGCAGCAACAGCAACGGCAGCAGCAGCAGAAAACGAGCCCAACATTTGAATATCAACTGCGGGTGGGGTGGTGCGAGAGGTGTGAAAGGCGTGAAAGAAGAAGGGTTAATGGCTGCAACAATTGCATAATTTATCGCGAACGTGTGCTTGCATCTGGGCAAATCCGTGTTTTGATTTTCTGATTGAATTATTGATTTTCAGTTTCTGGCTCGCGTCGTGCAACAGCCTCGCCACGGTGTACACATACAGTTATCTTGGCATTTGGCAGCCCCCGCACGTCTCCAGTGGATCCAGCACCTTCCAGTTGCACTCTCCAGCCTCCCCGTCAACACAAATTGCCTTTTCTTTGGCCCGAATTGCACATTTTGTTTACCTTTTCAGATATTGAGGCATTTTGCAGATAGATCCAGTATGTACTAGTGGTGGCAGACTACAACCTATCGACTGGACCATTGCCCAGTTGCCTATCGATGGTACACGCACACACACACACAATTCTTCTTTCGGTTTGTTGACAAAATCCATGGATAATGAATACCGACGAGCGCAATTTTCGATCCAGCTATTATGAGAAATGCCTTATCAACAGCGTCGAGGAGAACAAGTCGCTGAACAAGCTGCTGGAGGATGACATACGCAACCTAAACAAGTTGAAGCAATTCTGCTTGAACTACACCGTACCGAATTTGCACAGAAACTGTCTTTGGTCGCTAGTCATGGGCATTCTGCCACTTCACAGGAACTCCACGGACTACATACGGGACCAACGTCGCGAGGTCTATGAGGACCTGCTCCGGGCTGTGTCCGTGCTGCGTGGTGTGGACCAAAAGAAGGAGCTGGTCATGCACACAATGTGGCTGCTGGAATCCAATAGACTGTGGCACGGCAATGCGAATGCCACACTTCAGGCGGATGACACTCATTTCATTGAAATCATGCGAACTCTGCTGCAAATTTTCACCAACGATGTGGAAACCTATTGGATAGCAAAGGGATTCTACAATTACACACGCGAGCTGAAAAAAGAATGCCCCAAATTAAAGGAGCAGACACAAATCCTGCTCAAGCGCGAGGATCTCTCACTGTTCAAGTATGTCAAATCAAAGTTCCTTTTGCGTGGAATTCATTTTGATTTTCTTCATTTTAGCCGCTTGGAGCAGCTGGGTCTATTCGAGAGCACTTCGGTGTTGCTGGACAACTGGTACATCACCTGCTTTGCTGGCGTCATTTGTGAGACGGTGCTGGTGAAAATCTGGGACAAGGTGGTCGGTGGGTCGCGCAAAATTGTCGTGTTCCTCTTTGTGGAGCTAGTCAAGGATATAAGGTACCTGATCCTCAAGCAAAGTTCTCTGGCAGAGGTCAAAAGGCTGATAGAAACGGTAAGGCGAAACATCCCGCTGCCAAATCGCATATAATAAACGTGGTATTGTCTTTCAGGTGGAGGATCCCGATGGTGTCATAGTTAACAAGGCCATCAAGTCGCTGCAGATAAACAACAGCGAAGTGGACTACACGCATTAGGTAATTCTACAAAATGTTTATTAAGGACACGAGTAAAGAGCGTAAGCAACTAAATGTATTTGAAGACCACGTCCTTCTTGTCGGCCACCGTTTGCAGTTCCAGCGTGACGGGGCATTGCATCCAGTAGGAGAGCAGTTCCTCCGTGTAGCCAATAAGAAAATACATTTTGCGTGGACTGATGGCCTGGCGGATGATCGAAGCGATGCGTATTGTGTTGTGTTGGCGCTTAATGATAATCTCGGAGCAGACCAGTGCATGCCAGGTGCCGGTGATGAACTTCCTTATGAACAAATCCTCAATGGCCGTCTGTGACGGACGCTGCGAATCCTGCAGTGTAGCTATTGAAGTAGGGGTAAATTTCGTAAATAAACTATCGACAATATACTGCCCTCGAACTTACATGTGTTCCACGAGTTCCAGGACTTGCGGTGTCCAATGAAATGCGGTGGATTGGCCATCTCGTAGGTTAGCGGCCTGTTCCGCTTTGTGGTTATGCGGTAGCGGCCCGACTGCACCCGACAGCACACTGCACTAGTGTGCAGGGCCGCCGATTTGTGGAGCTGCGTCTCGGCCAGCGCCATGTGGGGCACCAACTGCATCGGGAACAGAGTTTAGTTGCATTTAAATCCGTTTTTTATTATTGTTTAACTCACCTTTTTCAGGAAGTTCATTATTTTTCGGTAAAAATCTGCGTCCAACAGCTGTTTGGCCGTGACGTAACAGCTGGCTAGAGATGGTCAATGCGCGTGCGATGTTTTTGTGTTGGAATACAATCAGTGAACAGTAAAAACGAAACCAATTATATTCAAATAAATATGATTAGTTTCATTAAATATATAATCATTCAAATCTATAAGCGTTAAGTTACTAATATAACTGCATTAAAACCATTGTTAGAGAAGAACTTTAGGTCGATGACAATCGATCTGTAGCGAAAACTATCGATAGTTTTATGCGATCGTGCGCTTAGAAAATGGCTGGAAAGAAAGGACACAAATTAAGGATCAACTGGTGATGGTGATATCTACCTGTAGGTGCGACAATAAAACAAGGATCTTCTTGGAATAAGCCTGTGCTAGGCATTCCACATGCACATGCCCTCCAGTGAGAGTGCCTTTTAAAGTCAGGACAGCTATTTGAAGCCATGACGCTGAACGAGAGTGACACGAGATTGGAACTGACGCGCAACTTTTTGGAGCTGTCCCGAAATGTGGAGACTTGCACCGATCTGCGCAGCTCCGACTGCATTCAAATTCTGGTGCAGATCTTGCACGCTAATGACGAGGGTCTGGCCACAGCCCGAAAATATGCCAGCCAAGCGCTGCATAACATTGTGCACAGCAATCCGGAGGAAAAGGAGCGCCAGCGAGAGGTCAAGATGTTGCGACTGCTCGACCAGATCCTCGACTATTGCAACTTTCTGCGCACACAGCTGCAGAGCGGTGGCGAGGCCATAGCCGACGACGAAGATCGGCATCCCCTGGCTGCTATGAAGCTGCTGATGAAGGCCAGTTTTGATGAGGAGCACCGCATGACCATGTGTGAGCTAGGCGCATTGAAGGCGATCCCCAATCTGGTGCATCTCGATCACGCTGTCCATGGGCCGGCAGCGGGGCGCGAACAGTGCAACGCGGTGAGGAGCTACGGACTGATGGCTCTGACAAATCTCACATTCGGAGATGAAAATGTCCACAACAAGTCCTACCTATGCGGTCAGCGTCAATTTATGGAGGTAGTAATTGCCCAGCTAAACACGGCGCCCGATGATCTGCTTCAGGTAAGAATCAGCTTTCAAATCATTTCTCGATTTCTCTCCATTTTAACCCATTCGATGTGGCAGGTCCTGGCTGGAGTTTTGCGCAATCTGTCGTGGCGCGCTGACAAGCACATGAAGACCATATTCAATGAGCTGGGCACAGTGACGGCCCTGGCCCGTGCAGCCATGCAGAACAAGAGCGAAAACACACTGAAGGCTGTGCTCTCGGCTTTGTGGAATCTCTCGGCTCACTGCAGCACAAACAAGGCAGAGTTCTGTGCTGTGGACGGGGCACTGGCCTTTCTGGTGAGCATGCTCAGCTACGAGGGGCCCAGCAAGACGCTCAAGATCATCGAGAATGCTGGCGGTATACTGCGCAACGTCTCCAGTCACATTGCCGTCTGCGAATCTTATCGTGAGATTCTACGCCGGCACGACGGCCTGTCCATCCTGCTTCAGCAGCTGAAGTCGGAGAGTCTTACCGTGGTAAGCAACTCCTGTGGCACGCTGTGGAACCTCTCGGCCCGCTGTCCCGAAGATCAGCAGTTCCTTATCGATCACAATGCCATACCCCTGCTGCGTGCTCTGATCGCCTCCAAGAATTCCATGATTGCCGAGGGCAGTGCCTCGGCTCTAAAGAATCTTGTGAATTTTAGGGCGGCTCTAGAGCTGATACCCAACGGTGATTCCCTTTCCTTGGAAAATGATGCAGGACATGCAGGCACCCTGCCCCGACGCTACACTTCATTGCGGCTAAGCTCCAATCCCACGGGATCCCTGAAGAAAGTTCGACCAGCAACAGTCGGCAAGGCTGAATTTTTGACTAGAAAATGCGGCGGCAGTCGCGAATCCATTTATTCGGGAAAATCCGACTCCACAAAATACTCAAGCAAGTCCGAGGGCGGCTCAAAGAACCCCTTTGAGATTGTAACGCCCACGGAGGAGCAACCCATTGACTACTCTATGAAGTACATGGAGCATAAGCCTGACACCAAAACCTTCGAGATCGATTTGGATCAGCCCACGGACTTTAGTGCACGCTACAAAGAGCGACGATCGATCACAACGGCCAGCACCGCAGAGCCACAGCTGAAAGCAGAGGCAAGTGAGATTATTAGCGATGCGTTGCCGTTGGCCAAATCAGAGTCCGCCTCCGCGCTTGTTCCAGTTTCCATAGCGAAACCGAAAATTGGCACTGAGACGGGAGAGCAACCGATCAACTATTGCGAGGAAGGGAACACCGGGCAGTTTCAGTCGCTTTGATTCCCTCAACAGTCTGACAGAGAAGACGGGTAAATCGACAGACCCAATGACACCCAAAACGCCCACAAAGCCGCCACAGCCGCCGCCTGGAGCTCTGGCGCTGCACAGCAATACACCGCAAAACATTGACTCGGCGCTGGAGACACCTTTGATGTTTTCGCGACGCAGTTCAATGGACTCGCTTGTGGGTGGGGATGATGAGACGATTGCTTGCGAGGATAATGGTTCCGTCATCAGCGAATACAGCCGAATGCAGAGCGGTGTTATCTCGCCCTCAGAGCTGCCCGATTCCCCCACCCAGAGTATGCCACAGTCGCCGCGACGCGATCGTAAAATGTCAAATCTGCCGAACGGACAGAATCAGAATGATGCGACGACGACAACGACCCCAAGGAACGCCCAAGACAATGTGTTCGAGGACAAGCTGAACAGATTCCATTTAGAGCACACACCCGCTGTCTTCTCGTGTGCCACCAGCCTGAGTAACCTGAGCATTCTGGATGATTCGAACGCCAATGGCAATGGCAATCGTGAAACGCATGGAAACGATATCAATGGGAATGGAGACGACCCACGCAGTTACTGCACCGAGGACACTCCGGCCCTGCTCTCCAAGGCGCCCAGCAACAGTGAACTGTCCACTCTGTCCATACCCAACGATTTGAATGCCAACGAGGAGCGACTACCGCCGCCACGCGTACCAGTTTTGGCAGCCGCAACCACAGAGGATGCCATCGCCAAGATGCGTTGTGGCGGCAGTTCGCTGCCCAGCTATCTGCCAGTCTCCGACGAGATGAGCAAATACTATGTGGAGGACAGCCCATGCACCTTCTCGGTCATATCGGGACTATCCCATCTGACTGTGGGCTCCACGCGGGCAGGTCCAGTCTCTCAGCTGCCAGTGCACCTGTCCGAAGAGGCACCCAAGCTTCCACCCAGACGCAATGCCACCTCGCATGTGGAAGTGGAGCCGCGTCTGCCGCCAAAGAGAAGCGACTCGCTCAGCTCTCTTTCGATGGACTCGGATGACGACTGCAATCTGCTGAGCCAGGTAAGTGATTTAAAGCCGCGTATCAGCAATGGAAATAAATGCATTAATTATACTTGTTAATAGGCAATAGCGGCTGGTAGCTGCAGACCACAGCCAAGCGGGGCCAGTGCCAGCACCAGTTCCAGTCATGCCAACACCAGTACCAGCACACTGTCCAAGACAAATGGCCAGAGGAAACAGACCATGGATGATGGCAGCAAGCTCAACTATAGCTCGGACGATTCCTTGGACGATGATGATGGTCAGTCCAAGTCGCTGTTCGAGCAGTGCATCCTCAGTGGAATGCACAAATCCAACGATGCCTTAGAGTCCGAGAGTGAACCAGCATCATCTGGGCAGGGTCAGGGACAGGAGCAGGAGCAGGAGGGAAGCGCCCGCGATCGTTTTGTCAGCAATCAGGTGAGGCAGATCGAGTCCATGCTAGCCGGAGGACGACCACATCCACCCACTGCCAGTAGTCGCCAGCAGGAGCATCGAGTGTAGATTTCTCAATCTAGCAACACGCACACACACACACATACATGGTTTTCTTGTGGCTTTTAATCTTTTGTCTATGCTGTAACACGGTCTCAATTTTCCTATAGTTCAGATTAAAAATTTGCACTTAAATTTAACGCTCTTCAACACGTGTAATATATATATATACTCTAACCGCTCGAGGAAAAAGGACACGGGAGGATCAAATGGGAAAACCTAAGGAATAAGTATGCGTGATACAGTCGGTATAAATAAAGTTGGGTTTTGTTTTGTTAGTCCGCAGAGTCTCGCGTAGAGATACGAGACGCGACACTCGTAACATGATGCTTTGATGATAGCTACGACTAGCTTTGAGGCGGCATCTATCTCCATCCCTCAATAGAAACGCTTACGCGCATTGCGATCCTTGAAGTAGGAGATGGCAAATATGGCCACCAGAGCCGCCACAACCACAACGAATAGCAGTATGAAGAATATTTTTGCATTCGACATGCCCGGCTTGGGGTCGTCTTTGTGCTCTCGTGGTGGTTCAAAGCTTTTTGCATTTGGTATGATATTGGTGCGTCGCACAATTTCGTCATGCTGCGGACAAGAATAAAAAAACAATTAAATGGTTTTGTTGATAAATACCATGGGTACATACTGAAACGTTATTATCAATGTCGTAGAACTTAAAGCTGTGGATGTCATGGTTATCGGACAAGTCGCCCGTGGTGGCCGACAAGCCCAAGTAGTAGCCCGTGGGCAGCTCTACGTTCGCCACCACAAAGCAGCTCTTCCACTCGTTACGATTCTCCAAGTCCGTCGACACGGACAGAATATCGTTCTCGTAGCGTATACTGATGAGTGTCTCGTATTCCACATTGCGGAACCGCACCTCACAGCCTGACAGCTGCGTGTGAGTGCCATCGCGATCGTGGTCGTAGCTCCAGCTGCCATTGTTTACCATTGCACTCAAGTACGGATGTTGGTGCTAAAAATACAGACCAGACGGAAGGCTTAGGCTTAGTCATGGTACATGGAATCAGTAAAATGTATGCGTTTTTTCGTACATTGTGGGGACCGTTGTGATTGCTGTATGTATCCAAAATGATGGCCAATCCGTTGAAGTAATCCTTACTGCCAAAGACGGGGCCCGTTTGCATGCGCTCCTTTGTATACCAAACAGCAAAGCCATCGCCAAACAGTTCAGTCCCTTTGCCGTGTACCTTGAAACCCAAATGTATCTCCCAGTTGCGTGTCATGATGGGCTTAAGAGGGGCAAGTTAGATTAGATTAAAATCATAAGAAAAACCCTGATAACATCACAGGTAAGTATACTCACATTGTAGTTCCAAAGTGCGCCGCTCTTTGATTGCAAGTCCGGCGTCAGTCTTATATAGTTGCTGGTCACCATTGTGTTGCCCATGAAGTCCCAGTGGGGTAGAATGACGCCAACACCTGGAATTGAATGGTTCAATGCAGTTCCAGTTGCAGTCGCAGTTGTTCGAGGTACACGTAAGCCCGCATCACAATAAATAAAATACCTTGAAAGGGACGCACCAAACTATGGTCCCGCTTCATGTAGTCTCCATCGCTACCAAATGTATCCGATGCCAAAACGACGACAAAGAGCGCCAGGAGACAATTTGTGTTGATCGTCTGGGTCATTTCTGCATTCGTCGGCCTCTGATTTCCTTCGGGTTTGATTCGAAAAACTAATAAAAATATTTTTGCAAAAAATTCTTTGCCGGTTGTGACAGTGTGACCGCGAACTTAGCTATAAAATATACCAAACGATCATCAGAAATATACCGAAATATACCTTGTCACTGTAAAAATATACCGACGAACACGACAAGATGCGTTAATATTCCTCGATTTTGAAGTTCGGTTTAATATTACTACCTAGTTAGGACTTAAACAACTAAAAATGTAAATTTATCAGATAGATTAATCAATTTTCTACAATCTGGCTTATGTTAGGGACTTCCATTTATTCGATTCCTTATTAAATAAGGTTTGAACAAAGGTCAGCAAAAATTTTGATTTTTGTGAACGGTAACTACACATTTGCTACATATGGCTCTTTGTATACCCAATTGGGAAACTTCTTAAACTTAAACTTCTACATTCCAATTGGAATATAGCAGCCTAAGCTGAAACCTAAGTAAATGTGTGTGTGCCATGTATTCTCACATACTGTGCTTGTGTGGGTTCTACAGTTTTTGGCCGCTTTCACCAAAATTGGTTTTTATTCCCGTTCTCAAAAAGAGTTAAGAATAAGGAAACGTTTTCCAACTATAAAAGCTAGATCAACCAAATTTTGTTTCCAGACTCATGTGATCTGCCCCTTTCCACCACCACAAAGGACGAAAATCTGTGGCAGCCACAATTTTAAGGATACCAAAAAAGTAAAAGTAAATTTCTCGTTTTTCCTTGTTTCTCTTTGTATTTCGTTGCTCTCTCTTTTCGATCTAATTTCTCTCATATTCTGCCTCCACTTTCCACCGTTCAAATGGCAGAAAGCCGTTAAATTCAAATCTGAGGTACCAGGCGAACAGTAATCGGCAGAAGGTCGCTGGTTGTTTTAATTTCTCGTTTTTTCTTGTTTCTCTTTGTATTTCGTTGCTCTCTCTTTTCGATCTAATTTCTCTCATATTCTGCCCCCACTTTCCGCCTCTCAAACGGCAGAAAGCCGTTAAATTCAAATCTGAGGTACCAGGCGAACAGCAATCAGCAGAAGGTCGCTGGTTTTTTTAATTTCTCGTTTTTTCTTGTTTCTCTTTCGTTCTCTCTTTGTTCGATCTAATTTCTCTCATTTTCTGCTTCCACTTTCCGCCGCTCAAACGGCAGAAAACCGTTAAATTCAAATCTGAGGTACCAGGCGAACAGCAATCAGCAGAAGGTCACTGGTTTTTTTAATTTCTCGTTTTTTCAAGTTTCTCTTTGTATTTCGTTGCTCTCTTTGTTCGATCTAATTTCTCTCATTTTATGCCTCCACTTTCCGCCGCTAAAACGGCAGAAAGCCGTTAAATTCAAATCTGAGGTACCAGGCGAACAGAAATCAGCAGAAGGTCGTTTCGTTTAATTTCTCGTTTGTTTCTCTTTGTATTTCGTTGCTCTCTTTGTTCGATCTAATTTCTCTCATTTTCTGCCTCCACTTTCCGACGCTCAAACGGCAGAAAACTGTTAAATTCAAATCTGAGGTACCAGGCGAACAGCAATCAGCAGAAGGTCGCTGGTTTTTTTAATTTCTCGTTTTTTCTTGTTTCTCTTTGTATTTCGTTGCTCTCTTTGCTCGATCTACTTTCTCTCATTTTCTGCCTGCACTTTCCGCTGCTCAAACGGCAGAAAACTGTTAAATTCAAATCTGAGGTACCAGGCGAACAGCAATCAGCAGAAGGTCGCTGGTTTTTTTAATTTCTCGTTTTTTCTTGTTTCTCTTTGTATTTCGTTGCTCTCTTTGCTCGATCTAATTTCTCTCATTTTCTGCCTCCACTTTCCGCCGCTCAAACGGCAGAAAACCGTTAAATTCAAATCTGAGGTACCAGGCGAACAGCAATCAGCAGAAGGTCGCTGGTTTTTTTAATTTCTCGTTTTTTCTTGTTTCTCTTTGTATTTCGTTGCTCTCTTTTCTCCATCTCATTTCTCTCATTTTCTGCTTCCACTTTCCGCCGCTCAAACGGCAGAAAACCGTTAAATTCAAATCTGAGGTACCAGGCGAACAGCAATCAGCAGAAGGTCGCTGGTTTTTTTAATTTCTCGTTTTTTCTTGTTTCTCTTTGTATTTCGTTGCTCTCTTTGTTCGATCTAATTTCTCTCATTTTCTGCCTCCACTTTCCGCCGCTAAAACGGCAGAAAGCCGTTAAATTCAAATCTGAGGTACCAGGCGAACAGCAATCAGCAGAAGGTCGCTGGTTTTTTTAATTTCTCGTTTTTTCTTGTTTCTCTTTGTATTTCGTTGCTCTCTTTGCTCGATCTAATTTCTCTCATTTTCTGCCTCCACTTTCCGCCGCTCAAACGGCAGAAAACCGTTAAATTCAAATCTGAGGTACCAGGCGAACAGCAATCAGCAGAAGGTCGCTGGTTTTTTTAATTTCTCGTTTTTTCTTGTTTCTCTTTGTATTTCGTTGCTCTCTTTGCTCCATCTCATTTCTCTCATTTTCTGCCTCCACTTTCCGCCGCTCAAACGCCAGAAAACCGTTAAATTCAAATCTGAGGTACCAGGCGAACAGCAATCAGCAGAAGGTCACTGGTTTTTTTAATTTCTCGTTTTTTCTTGTTTCTCTTTGTATTTCGTTGCTCTCTTTGTTCGATCTAATTTCTCTCATTTTCTGCCTCCACTTTCAGCCGCTAAAACGGCAGAAAGCCGTTAAATTCAAATCTGAGGTACCAGGCGAACAGCAATCAGCAGAAGGTCGCTGGTTTTTTTAATTTCTAGCTTTTTCTTGTTTCTCTTTGTATTTCGTTGCTCTCTTTGCTCGATCTAATTTCTCTCATTTTCTGCCTCCACTTTCCGCCGCTCAAACGGCAGAAAACCGTTAAATTCAAATCTGAGGTACCAGGCGAACAGCAATCAGCAGAAGGTCGCTGGTCTTTTTAATTTCTCGTTTTTTCTTGCTTCTCTTTGTATTTCGTTGCTCTCTTTGCTCGATCTAATTTCTCTCATTTTCTGACTCCACTTTCCGCCGTTAAATTCAAATCTGAGATACCAGGCGAACAGAAATCAGCAGAAGGTCGCTGGTTTTTTTTGATTTCTCGTTTTTTCTTGTTTCTCTTTGTATTTCGTTGCTCTCTCTTTTCGATCTATTTTCTCTCATTTTTGCCTACACTTTCTACCGCTCAAATGGAAGAAAACCGTTAAATTCAAATCTGAGGTACCAGGCGAACAGCAATCAGCAGAAGGTCGCTGGTTTTTTTTTATTTTCTCGTTTTTTCTTGTTTCTCTTTGTATTTCGTTGCTCTCTTTCTTCGATCCAATTTCTTTCATTTTCTGCCTCCACTTTCCACCGCTCAAATGGCAGAAAACCGTTAAATTCAAATCTGAGATACCAGGCGAACAGCAATCAGCAGGAGGTCGCTGGTTTTTTTTTATTTTCTCGTTTTTTCTTGTTTCTCTTTGTATTTCGTTGCTTTCTCTTTTCGATCTATTTTCTCTCATTTTCTGCCTCCACTTTCCGCCGCTGAAACGGCAGAAAACCGTTAAATTTAAATCTGAGGTACCAGGCGAACAGCAATCAGCAGAAGGTCGCTGGTTTTTTTAATTTCTCGTTTTTCTTGTTTCTCTTTGTATTTCGTTGCTCTCTTTGTTCGATCTAATTTCTCTCATTTTCTGCCTCCACTTTCCGCCGCTCAAACGGCAGAAAACTGTTAAATTCAAATCTGAGGTACCAGGCGAACAGCAATCAGCAGAAGGTCGCTGGTTTTTTTAATTTCTCGTTTTTTCTTGTTTCTCTTTGTATTTCGTTGCTCTCTCTTTTCGATCTATTTTCTCTCATTTTTGCCTACACTTTCTACCGCTCAAATGGCAGAAAACCGTTAAATTCAAATCTGAGGTACCAGGCGAACAGCAATCAGCAGAAGGTCACTGGTTTTTTTAATTTCTCGTTTTTTCAAGTTTCTCTTTGTATTTCGTTGCTCTCTTTGTTCGATCTAATTTCTCTCATTTTATGCCTCCACTTTCCGCCGCTAAAACGGCAGAAAGCCGTTAAATTCAAATCTGAGGTACCAGGCGAACAGCAATCAGCAGAAGGTCGCTGGTTTTTTTAATTTCTAGCTTTTTCTTGTTTCTCTTTGTATTTCGTTGCTCTCTTTGCTCGATCTAATTTCTCTCATTTTCTGCCTCCACTTTCCGCCGCTCAAACGGCAGAAAACCGTTAAATTCAAATCTGAGGTACCAGGCGAACAGCAATCAGCAGAAGGTCGCTGGTCTTTTTAATTTCTCGTTTTTTCTTGTTTCTCTTTGTATTTCGTTGCTCTCTTTGCTCGATCTAATTTCTCTCATTTTCTGACTCCACTTTCCTCATGCCGTTAAATTCAAATCTGAGTACCAGGCGAACAGAAATCAGCAGAAGGTCGCTGGTTTTTTTTGATTTCTCGTTTTTTCTTGTTTCTCTTTGTATTTCGTTGCTCTCTCTTTTCGATCTATTTTCTCTCATTTTTGCCTACACTTTCTACCGCTCAAATGGAAGAAAACCGTTAAATTCAAATCTGAGGTACCAGGCGAACAGCAATCAGCAGAAGGTCACTGGTTTTTTTAATTTCTCGTTTTTTCAAGTTTCTCTTTGTATTTCGTTGCTCTCTTTGTTCGATCTAATTTCTCTCATTTTCTGCCTCCACTTTCCACCGCTAAAACGGCAGAAAGCCGTTAAATTCAAATCTGAGGTACCAGGCGAACAGAAATCAGCAGAAGGTCGCTGGTTTTTTTAATTTCTCGTTTTTTTTGTTTCTCTTTGTATTTCGTTGCTCTCTTTGTTCGATCTAATTTCTCTCATTTTCTGCCTCCACTTTCCACCGCTAAAACGGCAGAAAGCCGTTAAATTCAAATCTGAGGTACCAGGCGAACAGCAATCAGCAGAAGGTCGCTAGTTTTTTTAATATCTCATTTTTCTTGTTTCTCTTTGTAATTCGTTGCTCTCTTTGTTCGATCTAATTTCTCTAATTTTCTGCCTCCACTTTCCGCCGCTCAAACGGCAGAAAACTGTTAAATTCAAATCTGAGGTACCAGGCGAACAGCAATCAGCAGAAGGTCGCTGGTTTTTTTTAATTTCTAG